CTGTTCCCTTTATTCGGAAGTCGACTAGTCTTACAACATAGAAAAACACTGAATAATTAAAATCGAATGGGTTTTTTCATGAGTCAGAAGACTTTGATATTAACACATAACAAAGCATACATGTACATGTATTATTATTTAACCCTGTTAGCACTAACGTTTTAAAATGATCTTCAATTTCAAAATGTGTACACTATGAGTGAGTGAGTGAGTAAGTGAGTTTGGTTTTACGCCGCTTTTAGCAATATCACGGCGGGGGACACCAGAAATGGGCTTCACACATTGTACCCATTTTACACTATGAAAAGGGCAAGCGAGTGAGTATGGGTTTACGCCGCAATTATCTAGTAATATTACGGCGGGGGCAAGCTAGCCCACCGTGCGTGCGTGCGTGCGTGCGTGCGTGCGTACTCCCCTCCTCTAAAATGCTGTGTTTACGCTCGTATACTTAACCTTAACGTGCAGATAACGATACCATAGGTGTTCCATCACTTTCATAAGCAGGGATGCAGAGAGCTGACAGCACGAAACTGGTGGCACGCTGGTAATTACGTTGGAGACACGATCAAGTTGAGAAAGGGCGTTGTTTGTACTGTTTGAGATTTTGAACGTAAAAATAACCTGTGAATCCGCTTTTTACAGTCGCTGACACAATAACCAGCAGAATAAAAACGCATTCCGGCGGCTGTACCAAATACAAATACGTTTAGACCCGTGAAGATTCCGGGGTAGAATAGGGCTTCAGCAACCCATGCTTGCCGTAAAAGGTGACTATGCTTGTCGTAAAAGGCGACTAACGGGATCGGGTGGTCAGGCTCGCTGACTTGGTTGATGCATGTCATCGATCCCAATTGCGTGGATCGATGCTCATGATATCAATCACTGGATTGTCTGGTCCATACTCGATTATATACAGACCGCCGTCATATAGCTGGAATATTGCCGAGTGCGGCGTTATACAACAAACCAACCAACCAACCAACAAATACGTTTATGATGGCTTTAAGAGCACCACAGTAGCAGGAACGGTTTGGAGAAACAAGTGATGCCACTTCCTCCGCTATCTGACAAAAGTAGCAATGTTGTACAATCAGTGTTCAGATTCTGAGGTGGGGTAACCCAGCGATTAAAGCTTTCCATCGTCACGCCGAAGACCTGGGTTAGATTGCCCACATGAGTACATTTTGTGAAACCCATTTCCGGTGTCCCCTGCCGTGATATTGCTTGAATATTCCTAAAAGAGGCGTAAATAAATACTCACGCACTGAGATTTCGGGGGGTGCAAGTCACGCTATATTATACTTCTCAAAAGAAGTTAAGAACACCCGATTCTTTCACATTAAAGTTTTGACATGACATATTAACCATAGTAATATAAAAGGGTGTTCTTAACTTCTTTTGAGTAGTATAAAATCTTTATTGTGCACTTGCTATGTAGTGTATCACTTGGGTTAAGTTTAGGGTTAGCCGAGGGTAATGTTAGGGTTGGCCTTAAGTTAGGGTTAGGGTAGCTGATTAAGGTGATTGAAGAACAAATGTTCCTCCCCAACGTGTACAGAAGACAAATGGCTGCCAGAATGTCTTTTTTCCCGGTCATTGCTGACACTCTGTGGTTCGGTTTAGTTTTTCACACAATCATATTGTATATCATGACATACAGTATATCATGTACATCGAACAATATTCTTTTTTAATAAAACATGAGGACAAGCTATTTTCTTCCATGTTTAGTTTTTTAAACCCCTCCCCTGTATGGGGGTATAAAGTGTGAAACCTCAATCCGGTTGTGACTCCGCCGTGATATTGCTTTAATAGTGATGAAAGCAGCGTAAAATTCAACTCAATCAACCGTTTTAGCCTGGGGGAAATATTAAATCGTTAAACGTTTGTCACGTTTTGTTTGAGAAAAATCGATTCGATAAGGCAGACAGAAACTGAGTAAATAATGTTTAATATATTTGTATTTATGGAATATTTACTGTATGAAATATATTGTATCTACAAGTTTCTGATTTACAGACTGCCTCCGTGGTGTAGTGGTAGAGACATTACAAAATGGTACTTGTTGTTACCCTGTCTGGAGCTCGGCATGAAGGGCTCAAACAAGGACTGGTCGGCAGTATACTGTGTCTGAATGGGGTATCCATGTTAAACTGCGGCATGGTATCTCTGTTGGCACTATAAAATCGGCATTAGTCTGGACAAGTACGTACGTGCAATAATCTTGAAAGCAACGTTGAACCCCATTTCACCGCTGATTTACAATGGCCAAGGTGCATGGGGTCTGCTCCAAAATCGACTAAAAGGATTACGAAGGTTGTCTCACATCTCGCTTATCTTCTCTAACTCCCGAAATGTCACTTTTAATATGTTATACATTGATAGTTCGTCAAATAAGGCGAACGTTCCAATAATGCTCTGCTATTTTCTTAAAAATGTTTTTATATTCTTTTCAACACACTTGCAGTGTACGTCTGCGGCAGGATCTATTTCTGAAATATAACAGAATTATATCAATATATTTTAGGGCCGAATGTCTTGAGGGACATTCTGGGAACTGCCGAGAATTCTATTTCCCCTCCAGTTCTAATTATGACCACATTAACGTTGAGGTTTATCGTCAGACTGATGTAATAAAATTGTTGTTCGGAATTACGCCGACAACAGTACATCACACTTGTAAAATGGAAACACAGAAAAATGTTGTGTATTATCAAGATTATTTCACAATTTTTAAAACTGCGGTAAAAACTGTCATAAACTAAGCTGTTTTGAAATGAATGCAGATATATTATTCAATAAAAATAGAAACGTGTTACAGAGAAGTTTAGCAGCCCAGGAATCAATAACGTTCTCGACTCGGAAACGCTAGCTTTTTTTGTTACTGTGGCGTCAGAATGTTTGTTTCCTCAGTTCGGGCGACTTTCACACGCTATTAATGTTCAGAGTAATCAGCAAGATAGCTGTTTTAATCTGAGCTTCGGGTCAACCTGTCGTGGGATTATAAACAAAAAAATGAATGAAGCGGACATAATATATTACTGATTATTTAGATTATTTATTTTTATTAGTTGTTTTTTTTATTCGATTGTCATATTTAAATAGCAAACAAAATTTAATGATACAGAAATTTTATAAATTTTGTTTGGACACAACTTTACATTTGCTTTGTAAAGGGAGGCAATTATTTAAAAAATTCTTTATTTGGAACGGCAAGTTTCTTCAGCTTAACTTGGAATAGCGTCACTGTAAGCGAAACTCTCATCTCACTCTGCTAGGTCTCCACCGGGCTGTTTTTAATATTGCGCATGCTTATACACGAAAGACTGTTGTAGCATAGTTGTGTTTCATTGTGAAACACAAAACATCTCTGACAACATAATTTGCAATCAATTGAACTACAGGAACGAACAAAAATGGCATCCAAAGAATTATTTCAGTGTCGTGAAAAAGACAAACGTTATGGCAATTGACTTAATAAAAAACTCATTTCAGATGTAAATTTTATTGTTTATTCATTACAATTCTAGTACGTATTTCAGTGCAAAAATATACGAGAGAAAAGGGTTTTTTTTCATTGTAAGTTGTCTTGAATCACATTCAACCGGCTTGAAACGGAATACCGATTTGGTTGTGTTGGCGTGATCTCACTCCATTTTGTGCCATAGCTCTTTTATCGACATCTTTAAGATCCCGCCTTGAAAGAGTCCATCTCACATAAACCAGATATTTTATTAAAAGAATTGACTTTATTATTGTTTCCATTTATGGAGGTATAAACTAAAAAAAACGGTGTGAAAACTGTAAATCCGCGAAGCTGTCTTTTCCTTGTTGATAAGGCAGATTTTACGCCCGCCTTTTGTAATCTATCAATTCAGAAAATTCATCTCGGTTGAGTGAGTGAGTAAGGTTTTACGCCGCTTTTAGCAATATTCCAGCAACATCACGGCGGGGGACACCAGAAATGGACTTCACACATTGTACCCATGTCGGGAATCGAACCCTGGTCTTCGGCGTGACGAGCGAACGCTTTAACCACTAGGCTACCCGACCGCCCTCATCTCGGCTGAACCACTCGAATACTTTTGCAGTATACCCGGTGTATGTTAGCTCCAATACAGTATTCAGTCGGGTGTGCGTGTCCCACGAGCTGGCAGCCTGCTGTTCTGGTATAAAGTTGCAAAGGGACCTGTTTCTCGGACGTCAATGTGTATCTTAAAATACTGCACGTCAGTCATTTTTATACCCGGTGTAGGATCCAGATATGCTTGACAACTGACGTTGAATTAAAGGGCCGAGTTCAATGTGTGCCCTCGTGTGTGTTGATACTCTTGGTTGAAAATATCAAAGAGTTCCTAAGAGGCTAATTTCTAATGTAAACTTGTGCCCGAGAAACGTTTTTATGCAGCCTAATCGTTGGAGTAGGAGGTCCTTTGAAAATAAAGGAAAGCCGAGAATTTTGCAAATGGATCTCAAGCCACGGTGTAGATCCACTTAAATTCACAAATCAGGCGTAACCGGGCCAAAATAACATATAAGCCGACTGGTCATACAACCATTACAACGTCACAGTCATGTTCACAAGTATTGTTGCACTATCCGACAAACACGTCCTGCGTGAGTGAGTGAGTGAGTTGGGTTTAACACCGCTTTTAACAGTATTCCAGTTATATAGCTGCGTGTCAGCTTAATGTGGGAGGAAAGCCCTAAGTGATGCAGATCTCAGACGTTTACCACTTCGGTGAAACCCACAAGCACGGGTATGGTGCTGACAAACCTAGAAACATAATTAGGGCGAACCGGGATTAGAACCACAATCATAGTTTTCTGGCGTGCCCAAGGGACGCAACTCTGCACAACGAATTGCGGCGCCTTAGAGGACTGGGCCACCCGTGCCCCACCAGAAACCTATGATTGTCGGTTCGTCCCAATTATGTTTCTAAGTTTGTCAACACCATACGGTGCTTGTGGGTTTCACCAAAGTGGTTTAACATCTGAGACCTGCATCACTTCAGACTTTCCTCCCACATTAAGCTTATATACGTAGTATAACTGGAATATTGTTAAAAGCGTCGTTAAAAACCCAACTACCTCTTTCACTCACTCACTCAGTTCCCATATCGGGTTCTATTCACTTACATAACAAATGAACTTTTTAATTTATTTGTTGAAAAAATCTGTCATTTTCTTGTCTCCAGATCTGGATTTCTTCTTCGTCCCATCATCCATTGCTGAAGATTTCCGTTTCTTTGCAGGACTTGAAGTGCTTTTCTCTTTCGTGGCCATTTCCTTCCTCTTGGCATACGCAGCCGCCATTTTCTTGATGTTGGCTTTGCGGACGTTGTCGTGGTCCACTATAGGCTTGGGGTAGTCTTTGCCTATGACACAGCCTGCTGCCTTCTGCACTGACTGGGGAGACTTCCACGGCTCATAGATGTACTGTGCCGGGAACTTCTTCAGCTGTGGCAGGTACTTCCTGTTCAGGGAATGATGGTAAATTTCTTATCTTGTGATTTCTGTACACAAAACATTTAAAATAAATATCACTGAAATCATTTAAGCTGAACAAAATATATGAAAACTCTTTTTACGGTTTTCGTATGCAAAAGTCTTTCAAAGCATATATTTGCAAAAGATGGTTTCTAAATCAACGGTAATGAACTAATGTCTACAACACCTACTATAAGAAATGATAAGGTCCAAGCTCCACTTATCAATTGTAGTGCCGAGACTGTTTCAACATCTAACATTGCTTGACCCTTTAAAGGTCAGGAGCTTATGAACAACAAAGTGTCACAAACGACATCGAGCATTTCTGATGTTGAATTTATCTCATCTGCCAATTTTAGCAAATATTCCAGCCATAACACAGATAAGGATACTGAGAATGACCTTCACACACTGCATCCAAGTGGGGAATCAAACCCAGATCTTCAAATTTCATGTGTAAAAATTTAACCACAAGGCTACCCCACAACCACACTTCACGAGTCATGTCTACCTGATGTAGTCACCATTCTTGTCTGTCTTCTTGCCAAAGGCAATGGGGCTGTAGACTCGGAAATACTGATGGAAGAATGCACTGGCAGACAGCCACATCCAGTTCCCTGCGTTCAGGCTCCAGTCAGCATCCAGTAGCAGCTCCTCAAACACCTACATAACAATGAGAACAACTGCTGACAAGGAGGGAGTTGGGTTCACACACATCCAGTTCCCTGCGTTCAGGCTCCAGTCAGCATCCAGTAGCAGCTCCTCAAACACCTACACAACAATGAGAACAAGTTGGGTTACCTTCTGTCCCTCCTCCCAGCTGATCCACAAGTCACCGCGAGTCAGGAAACAAGCGACCGCATGCCGTGCAAGATGATGGATCCATCCTTCCTGTCTCAACTGGGTCATGATGGCATCTATGAATGGGTAGCCGGTCCGAGCCTGCGGTGTAGCGAACATATGTTATTGTTATTACATTATATATGTTACGTTTTTTATGTTTGCATACACAAATGGGGAAATGTTTGCACTCAAAGATGAGATATCTTAACAAATCATGTAAATACCGTCTAATTACAGTCTGATTAACCTGTTTCATTCTCTCTAATTTACCACCCCCACCTCTGCAAATGACCTGATACAGAGCCCCGCTATTTCCCTTACTGAACTGTATCCAGACCCACCCCCACCCAGCTGACCTGTTCCCTTCCAATCCACCCCACCCCAACTGGCCTGTTACCTTCCCCTCTATCCCCACCCCGACTGACATGTTCCCTTCCTCTCCACCCCCACCCCAACAGACCTGTTACCTTCCCCTCTACCCCCACCCAAACAGACCTGTTCCCTTCCCCTCCATCCCCACCCAAACAGACCTGTTCCCTTACCCTCCACCCCCACCCCGACTGGCCTGTTCCCTTCCTCTCCACCCCCACCCCAACTGGCCTGTTACCTTCCCCTCTACCCCCACCCCAACTGGCCTGTTCCCTTCCCCTCCACCCCCACCCAAACAGACCTGTTCCCTTACCCTCTACCCCCACCCCGACTGACATGTTCCCTTCCTCTCCACCCCCACCCCAACTGCCCTGTTCCCTTCCTCTCCACCCCCACCCCAACTGGCCTGTTACCTTCCCCTCTACCCCCACCCCGACTGACATGTTCCCTTCCTCTCCACCCCCACCCCAACTGGCCTGTTACCTTCCCCTCTATCCCCACCCCGACTGACATGTTCCCTTCCCCTCCACCCCCACCCCAACTGGCCTGTTACCTTCCCCTCTATCCCCACCCCGACTGACATGTTCCCTTCCTCTCCACCCCCACCCCAACTGGCCTGTTACCTTCCCCTCTATCCCCACCCCGACTGACATGTTCCCTTCCCCTCCACCCCCACCCCAACTGGCCTGTTACCTTCCCCTCTACCCCCACCCCGACTGACATGTTCCCTTCCTCTCCACCCCCACCCCAACTGGCCTGTTACCTTCCCCTCTACCCCCGTCCCGACTGACATGTTCCCTTCCCCTCCACCCCCACCCCAACTGGCCTGTTACCTTCCCCTCTACCCCCACCCCGACTGACATGTTCCCTTCCTCTCCACCCCAACTGGCCTGTTACCTTCCCCTCTACCCCCGTCCCGACTGACATGTTCCCTTCCTCTCCACCCCCACCCCAACTGGCCTGTTACCTTCCCCTCTACCCCCACCCCGACTGACATGTTCCCTTCCCCTCCATCCCCACCCCAACAGACCTGTTACCTTACCCTCCACCCCCACCCCAACTGGCCTGTTACCTTCCCCTCTACCCCCACCCCGACTGACATGTTCCCTTCCCTTCCACCCCCACCCCAACAGACCTGTTACCTTCCCCTCCACCTCTACCCTGACTGACATGTTCCCTTCCTCTCCACCCCCACCCCAACAGACCTGTTACCTTCCCCTCCACCTCTACCCTGACTGACATGTTCCCTTCCCTTCCACCCCCACCCCAACTGGCCTGTTACCTTCCCCTCCACCTCCACCCCGACTGGCCTGTTCCCTTCCACACCTACCCCGACTGACCTGTTCCCCTCCACCCCCACCCCGACGGACCTGTTCCCTTCCCCCCTCTACTACACCCCCCGCCCCCCGCGACTGACCTGTTCCCCTCCACCACCAGCCAGACTGGCCTGTTCCCTTCCCCTCCACCCCACCCAGACTGACCTGTGTCCATGCCTCCAGCAGCTCCTTGTTGTTCTCCCAGGGCACCTGTGTGCAGACTGAGTTGCCCTCCATACGGTCAAAGTTTGATGTCCCTGACCCCACAGTGTAGAAGAACTCCCGCCACAACAACTGCCCATGCAGGGACACTGGGGGTTGGGTGTGCTTCTGTAACACAAATACATCTATTGATGCAGTCCTCATCTGGGGTGACACTCTCACGAACAAACAACCATTAATACACAATGCCATTTAGAAAGTGGTTAAATGTAACAAATGTTATATTTGGGATAACACCTTCTTAGTAAAGTACAGATTCTTGTACTTTTTTGGGTTGAGTCCCGTCCGGGATTCGAACCCAAACCTGCCAGTGTGAGGCACCTAATCGCCAGCACACAAAGTCAGCGATCTAACCAACTCAGCCACCGAGGCTTCTAGATCACATACTTTGAGTACCCCCCTGACAAGTGTAAATTGGCACGGCTCCCATGGCCGAAAGCTATGAATACACAATGCCATTTAGAAAGTGGTCAAATGTAACAAATGTTATATTTGGGATAACACTTTCTTAGTAAAGTACAGTATTCATAGCTTTCGGCCATGGGAGCCGTGCCAATTTACACTTGTCAGAGGGGTACTCAAAGTACGTGATCTAGACTACCAGTTGTCGGCCTTTCATTTTTGTGGAAGCCTCGGTGGCTGAGTGGGTTAGATCGCTGACTTTGTGTGCTGGCGATAAGGTGCCTCACCCTGGCAGGTGTGGGTTCGAATCCCGGACCGGACTCAACCCAAAAAAGTACACGAATCTGTACTTTACTAAGAAAGTGTTATCCCAAACAAACAAACAAGCAAACAAACAAACACACCACTGTCACCTTACAGTAACAACAAGTCATACAATATGTACAACAAGCATGGAATACATCTCACAGAATATCTACAGCAAAATCACAATATGCCTCTCTTTTTAAAGAATAAAGAAGTCAAAATGTCTTCATCTGTTTCCATCTGCATCTGCTATGAAGGGTTATATGGATCTACCTGTACTGTATATTTGCCATCAACAATGCTTCACGACTTCAAGGCCAGTGTGAGGTGTTATCACTATTTATAACCAACCAACCAATCAAGTGACCGCCTGGTCCCAGTGAGTGCTGACCATTGAAAGTTCGGACAATATCGGCAATATATATCCGCCATACCCTTGCATCCATCTTCTCTACACACTGCTTCAATATCAGGCAATGGCAAGGTTTGGTTGGTTGGTTGGTTGTTTTACGCCTCACTCAGCAATATTCCAGCTATATAACAGTGGTCTGTAAATAATCGAGTCTGGACCAGACAATCCAGTGATTGATATCATGAGCATCGATCCACGCAATTGGGATCGAAAGGGATTGTACAAAGTTAATGCATGAATGACTTCCGTGAGTGATACATGGCCTCAACTCGGGGTTAGTACAGAGATGTTCTAAAAAAAATTCAATGCCTTTTCAAGGTTTTTTCAAGGCACACTTACTCCAATTCAAGGCACATAAATAATGCAAACAACATGTTAACATTCAGTGCTATTACTAAATAAAAAGGGAAATAACTCGTCCCTGATTGCAATCCCAGTCATTCAGTAGAGCGTTGTAATTCAAGCAATCAACATTTTGTGTCCAACAAAACTCACAGTGGACATTATTTGTATCCATTTTTAATTTTGATGTGCATCCGATGACACCCTTATGCTGTGTGACACACAACACAGACAACAACCTCTATGGTCTTTCATGTTGTTCTTCGACTACCTCCAAGTCCTGGTGGATCGAGCGTCGGCTGAGAGAGATTTCATCTCCTGCCCTCGGCAGACCAAAAGATGGTACTTGTTGTTTCCCTGCCTGGTGCTCAGCATTATTAAAGGACAAAACAAGCACAGGTTGGCTTGGAGTCACTGTGTCCGAACTTCGGCATGGTACCTCAGTAGGCTAGCAGTATAACACCAACATTTTCTGGACTTGTACAAGTAGCCCCATGCACACATGCATGCTCATCACTATAATCATAATAATCATGACTCCAACTTTAAACCCCATTTCTCCTTACCTTAAGGTTGTTTTTCTGGTTAACCATCCAGCATGTGCACGTGATGAGGTTATAACCTAACACAACCCTAGGACAGTAAATTCAACAGCACCCTCCTAACCTACACATACAGCTCTTATAACATGATATCTCAGCTTATTCCACCTCTACATGCACCCTCACCTTGTTGACTCGGTAGACCTCAAGTAACCGGAAGTAAAATGTGCGAGCAGAGAGGCAGCCGAACTTGAGGTAAGGGGAGAGAACTGTGGTGCTGGGCTGAAGACTGTTAGGCTCCGTCTTAGGTTTCTCAAAGCTACAGATCCAATTCTGAAATAAAACCAAATGGCTGCAAAATCATGATAATATGTAAAGAGCAATGATAACATCCGCAGACATTCAAATAACGCACTTCCTTCCTCCTTGCCTCCATGGTACCTTGCTGTTGGCAAAAAAAATGTTAAAAAAAATAATCTGTATGTGGGTACATTTCCAAAAATTCTTTTGTACTGGGCCCCTGTTACTTAAAGGGTTCATAGCGCTAAATCTACATCTTCCTGAGGCAAGTGAGTTAACTGACTATAAAAGTCCAGTTTCCACCCTTGCCGAACTAGGCTGGTATTATGGAGTTACATTTTGCCTGGGCTAAAGAGTCTATGCATAGTCCAATCAAAATCGTGCACCGAAATCGAAATCTGGTTTGTAAAATGTCGTGCAGATTTCTGTCGATTGCAGGATTTGCAAAGCATGTGCATTGCCAACTCGTTGTCAACAGATATTTTCCAAGTCTTTTCAGGTTTTTTAATCAAGGTGCTCACGTGATTTGATGCACTTCACCCCGTTTTATCACAATAAAGATCTTGATTATCAATCAGATCGTTTTGACTGGGCGCCACCATTTTGTGTGAAACAAATGCAAGTGATACGAGAGGTGGAATCTGATTGGTCCATAAGAGAGGCTTAGAAGGAACATAACTCATAATAACCACTGGTGGCGCTACGGTCGAGCCCAGGAATTCAAGCCTAGTTCGGCAAGGGTGGAAACTGGACTTTTATAGTCAGTTAACTCTCTTGCCTCGGGAAGATGTAAATCTATGACTCTATATTAGAGTGGTGGCGTTACGATGGTTTTAGCACTTAGATGTCTTTGTGGGTGTGGACATGAACTCTAAGATAAGATGTACATGTTGTATCGTATTTGCAGTCAAACAAATTATTTCAGTCTGCCGTTCAACCAGTTTTCAGTATTGTTCCGACTCTTCCTAGTAAAAACACTTTTCTTGCCAATGTAAAAAGATGCAAGTTTGGTCTATTGGTCCTTGTATAAATTAAAGGACTCTATTAAAACATTTTTGAAGCTGAACAAACTAAATTATCTGCATTACGTTTTCAATGCTAAATTTCAGAAATATTCAGAGGAATTGTCCTGCAATTAAGCCTCACTGAAACAGTGAGTGAGTGAATGTTGTTTTAACCCAACAGCAATATTCCAGCTATATCATGACAACAGACGAAAGAGTGGTTGATATTGTAAGCAATGATCTATGCTATCAAGGCACCACGACATGCAGTCAGCCTCGTCACAAGCCTACACCCAAGCCATCTAAATTGTCTCAGATCTAAACGTTCCTAACATGTCTAAACGTTCCTAACATGCCAAACTTCAAATGCCAAACAAACAATATCATGATCCTGTATACCCTGGTTGCCTTTCTAAACATATTTGGGGCGGTGGGGTAGCCTAGTGGTTAAAGCGGTCGTTCGTCACGCTGAAGACCCTGGTTCGATTCCCGACATTGGTACAATGTGCGAAGCCAACTTTTGGTGGAATATTGCTAAAAGCAGCATAAAACATACTCACTCTAAACATATTTCCATGGATTATTGGGAGTATGAATGCAAAAGGCGCAACTCAATGATTCCAACACTTCCACACAATTCAAAATCAACCTCAAAGTTCTGACATGACACTGCTGTGATGCCTACTTACTGTTTTCTTGAGATACCTCTCCATGCGGGTGAGTGCCTCCGTCTCCCCTCCAGGGTACAGGTTGGGACCCAGCTCGTCCACACACTTGTCCAGGTCCTCCAGCGCCGGAACACTGTACTTCTCTGTGTCATCTGCTTGAGGGGTCCGACAGTCTGAAGTGAGTGAGTGAGTTTGGTTTTTCCCCCATTTTAGCAATATTCCAGCACAACCACAAGGCTACCCCACCGCCCCCTGACAGTCTCAACACAGCAAGGCAGCTGGGTGTAATGCTACTTGAATAGTAGTTCAGTTATACCACTCGTCACTACTCATACTGAGGTTAAAATAAGCCAAACCTCCTCCCACGGTAGACATACAGTAGCTGCAAGTAAAATGTGCGAGCACAGAGACAGCCGAACTTGAGGTAAGGGGAGAGAACTATGGTGCTAGGCTGAAGAGTACGTGGCTCTGTCGTAGACTTCTGAAGGCTACAGATCCAGTTCACAACAATATCTGAGGGAAATGTCTCATGCAATAGCTGTTAAACTTGAGTGAGTGAGTGAGTGAGTGAGTGAGTGAGTGAGTGAGTGAGTGAGTGAGTGAGTGAGCATGGTTTTATGCTGCTCTTAGCAATATTCCAGCAATATGACGGCGGGGGACACCAGAAATGGGCTTCACACATTGTCCCCATGTCGGGAATCGAACCCGGGTCTTCGGTGTGATGAGCGAACGCTTTAACCACTAGGCTACCCGAGCGCCTTGTTAAACTTTAGACCATTGCTATACATCAACATCTAAATATATCCTGACATGTTAGAGAGTGGCCACAGTGAGCTGACCTCCAGCCTGATCTCTCCATTATGTAGCCTACGCCTCTAAATACCCTCTACTGAGGTCATTGGGTAAGATGGGGCTGTTCTATATATAACAATTGTTACAATTAAAACGCAAAGGTTAACCCAGAAATCAGTTCGAACAGAACTAAATTGTGAAATCAGTAAATTACCACACAAGATCAATAATCACTAATAATAGACAAAAATACAGTTTTAGATTTCCAATCCATGTCATGTCAGAACGACCTTTCGCGAACTTTGACCAACCACTGAAATGACTAACAAGAAGCTGACATTAGCCAATTACAAAGCAGCTTTCTCGAGCTTTACGGCACTCGTTTCAACCTGGCAACTTCCATTTCAGACTACGCTTTAAAAATATGTTAACATAGTTCTCGATTAAAATTTTGAAAACTGAACAAACAAACATTCCGGAATGTCTAATATATGGTTGAGATTGTATGGCAGTGCTTTCAACGTACAGTGCAACGCCTCCTCTGTTCAAATGTTTATCCCACGGAAGCAAGAGATAGACGATAATTTTGACGGAATCAGTCGTACGGACTGTAACTGTCATTCAGAATACCCCGTGTTAACATTTTCGAGGTTACATGATTAGACAACATATTCCGGCTGTCACTTTCATGAACTGGTTAGCAACGCTTTGAATAGTTGGATGAAAGGTCGCTCTGACATGACCCGTAATAGGATGTCCTCAGATCTTTGTTTAGCGATAGGGGGAACTAAGGTCTGATTTTAATGAGATTGACTGGGTCCCCACAGATATATCTATTATCTAGGCCTGCTCACAGGCCAATATTTGACCCACAATCTGCAGCAAATGTTGGCACAAATTCCCAAATTGCAAAGAAATAATGTCCCAATATTCACATTGTCTTAGCAATATCTAATGGTATAGCTGGAAAGAAGTGTCTTGTATTTCACCAATAACAGAACCAATAAGGAGGTAGAGGTTTTAAAGTTAAATTACAATGTTAAAATACCTCTGAACTGATAAAACAAAGTACTTCTAAAAATTCTCTTTTCAAACAAAATAACCACTTTTTCACATTTTGACTACTAAGGGCAGTAAGTTTGCAATCCTAGATAAGTCTCTGGTCATGAATGAAGTTAAGGACAAATCCCTGATTACATGAATTAATTTACAAATAAATCTTACCTTTCATCTCCTCTTTGGTGAGAGTGTTTGCAGGTGATGGAGGCGCCCCCATCTGTGAGATCAATGTCTGAAGTCTTTGGTACGTGAGTGGGGGTGATCCACCATTTTTCTGTATTGTTCTGCCAAAGAAACAAAATGTAATCATGTGGTAATCACATCTTCCTTGTCAGAATTACCTCCCCTTGCCATAAACTGTTACACCGCCAATTTGTTTAATCAAGAAAAGAAGATTACTCATAGTTAAGTAATCTGTTCTAAATGTTCTGATGAAATAGTTTTATTTTTTAAAAGGGCAAGTAAAGCCACAAATTGATTGTGGTTTTGTTGCAGAAATAAATTTCGCTTTATACATTTAGGCAATATACAAGAGAGAAAAATTCATACTTTTGTAGAAAGTATTTAATGTCCAAATGAAAGTGCTGAAATCACTCGCTCTGTAATCAGCCTTGAAAAAACAACTATTTTGGGGCGTGACCTAAAGCTACTGGATGAGCGTCAGTAGGCTTAGGCAAAGATGCGCAACCAGACTTTGTCGAAACAGAACGTGGAGGAGCGGGAGACGAACGTTGACTGGTAACTGACAAACCAGGAGTGGTCACAGGAGGTTTGGTTGGATTGATTGCACTTAACTAAAATGCGAGATCGCTGATTGTTCCATCCTAGGTGTGGATTCAGAGGTATCGGAAATGGACTGTTTAGGTGTCACAGGAGGGACATCTTCCGTCAGGAAACCGTCAGAAACAATAACCTCTGCTACTGACGGTGCAGATATAGGGGAACCCGGAGGTGGTTCAACAACAATGTAGGAGGTAACAGACGCCTTAGTAGATTTCTTGTCAAACACGCTGTAAAGTGAGTGGGTATTGTTTTACGCCACTTACAGAGGGGTAAAACAATCCTCACTCACTTTATTGCTGGAATATCACGGCTGGAGACACTAGAAATGGGATTCACACATTGTACCATTGTGGGGAATCGAACCCAGGTCTTCAGCGTGATGAGCAAACACTCTAACCACTAGGCTACCCCACCACCCGAATACTATAAAGCCACCTGAAGTCAGCTCTTACAACAGCATGGAGTACTGGGGGCCGATTCAAGCCTGTAATAGCCACATGGTTCTTAGGGACCGACCACCATATATTCTTGCCTGGGATTTTATCAAAAATAGTATATTGTCCCCAAAAAATACTTCAGACTGTAGAAAAAATAAGAAATTGTCTGCCATTAAAAATACATTGCTGCAAGAAGGGTTTTTCTAAATAATATTTAGGCTCATAGACATAATTTATAAAACATCTGATGTTGCAGCTGGAGCTGAAAAAATATGTAGTTTCCTTACTGAATTTCTCCCCCCATCAACACCCCCTCCCCCGAATATAAAATGGTCAACCCCGTACGTAGTATCACAGATGAGTCTACATCTTACTTCTTGACATCAAATAGAGTGTGGGACACCTCTGTGACGACCTCCACTCCATGCTGGTGTGCGAGTTGTTGTACTTCTTCATCACGTGCCACGGCATAGGGTTCAGTGTCTACCTCAAACGTCAGTCGAGTTATCTCCCATTGTTTAAAGAGCCCTGGGAACACCTCTGTCGGACTGCCCTGGATGACAAACAGCCTGTCACAAAGAACATGAGGGGAAAGTCTTAGTTCTAAAAGTCCGCAATACTCACTCATGCCAACACCCTCTTAATTTTTCTGTTTATGGTTTGGTGAACAAGACAAGAGCCATCAACTAAAAATACAATAATTGAACTTCATTCAAAATATATCAATTCATGACTATCACAATCACTATGATTACAATCAATACAAATGTATGGTGCAGCCATTGCAAAGACCAAATAAAGAAATACTGGTTGATGTAAAGACAACATTCATTTCTCCCCAACTGACATCACAATATCATGTAAAAAAAATTACAATAAAACATATTCAAATGTACATTACTTTTAGTTCAACTCATCCAAACTAACTGTATGTAAAAAATATCAAGACAAAAATAAGATTGACCATCGGTGTTGATATGTTTTGAATAAAAGTTCCAGGTGCTTGTCAAATCAGAATTTAGGATATTCTTCAACAAATGGCACACCTTAACAGACCCACCAAGTAACAAGTACCACCATTCACTTGAATAGCAAATTCTTAAAAAAAAATGACGAGAGATTACAATACAATGAAAAGAACATTCTAAGAGTTACTTTCTCTATAAACGAAATCCTTTAAGACTTATTTGTTAAATTGTCTATAAATACATAGCAAGGGGCTCACAGAGAATCTCTCCATTTTCAGAAACTGAAGAAATCTAGACTTGCCAAAGTATTTTAGACAATGTATTCTGTCTTAATACCATTGTGTAGAAATGTAGATATCTCATTATAGGGTTTTTTTCATAAATTGTCAAACCAAAACCAATTCCCAGGGTTCATTAGTCTTAAAATGTCATGGTTGAATGGACCGCAGATACAAGACAAATAGTATAGTTGCTTTTGGTTTAAACAATCAATACCTTGAGTTGACTTTCTTCAGATTCTCATCTAGATTTTTTAAAGACTGAAGTAGAAACCGCCATCTGTTGATTCCAACTCGAGCATTTTTGGCAAACCATGGGTCAAGAACAAATATTGGCCATAATTCCTCTCCGTCTTTGACAGCAGCCAGGAGAGCTGGGTTGTCATGGATACGCAGACCTTTGCGGAACCAATGGATTGTTTTGTGGGACATAGCAGATATTACTCGATCAGTACCTGAAATGAGATCGCAAAACATGAAATGTGAGTCAGATACTATATCGGTACAACTAGATCGGTATGGTCTCTGAAGAAACTTTTATATTGTTATGAATTAGAATGTTGTTGTTTTTTATAAGTTCACAAGTTTTGCTGATTTAGTAAACTGAAGGATAAATTACGTTTTATAATGTCTACCTACAACCATACAACATTTTTTCGCCGGATCCATGGTTTTCATAAATTACCAAGCCACTGTATCTGATAGGCCTTGGGTTGTATCATATTTTTTAACCCCCACCCCCATTTTATGTTTTTAACATCCCCCCCCCCCCCCCCCCCCCCTAATGTAGCTTCTATTTGCCTATAACAATTATCCAGTTCCATGGCCGCCTCGCCACATACAAGCCGCTTATCTAAACTGGAGCACATTTGGCTGAATGAAAATGGTGAATGGGTACAGCGGTTTGATAATATAGATACGTTGCTATTTTTATAATTTACAACATATGCATGGAAGAGGACGACAGTAAATACAAATAACCTGACTTGTCACTCGAAGCTGAAAACAGAGCGTGGCTCTCGTTTGGTAAACAGCAGTGTCACAGAGTTACCTCCCCTACACCGCAACAGTGCCCGCAGTCCATTTAATAGTATGGGGGCCTTTGGGAGGGGAAGACGTAACTTTCTCGCTTGGTTATTTTGTTTTTTCATTTGGGGGACTGAGGTGGGGATTTTCATAAAAGATACCTGAATTGTTTTTGTTCTAGTCACATTATACCTCCGGAGGAGATTGGAAATTTTCTCACTATTCACTTCAACATAATAACTGTACAGACGTAGGTGATTTTAAAACAATTCACGGATTTCTATATAAAAATCGTAATTGACTGATTTATGGCTCTATTTAAGAGTTTTATGGGGCCATCTCGCCGTCAGCGTGTGGTGGTTCACGGCTTTCTAAATAAATCAGGTTAAAATCTAAATATATAGTTGTCAAAAGGAGTTAAAGAACACCCTATCCTATCTATTATAGAACTATGGTTAATCAGTCACAGTCTTAAAACTGTGGGTGTTCTTTAACTTGTTTTGAGTTGTATATGATGTTACAGTGTGAATGCCATAATACTGTTGTCCGTAAATATTATTTCTGACATTTGATTTATGATCATCTTCTATTGTGTCTCTTGTCAAATCTATATGTATATGTACTTGCATATCGTAATTTTATAAACAGCGCTGTAAATGAGTTGGTATGGTTTTACGCCGCTTTTGGCAATATTCCAGCAATATCACGGCTTCTCACGTTGTACCCATTTTGGGAATCGAACCTGGGTCTTCGGCGTGACGAGCGAACATTTAACCGCTAGGCTACCCCACCGCTCCCATCGCTGTCATTGGTGTGATCACAGTTGATATGTGTACTTGGGTAAACTACACATATGGAGGGACATCCTAATTAGTGTTGCCACAAAGTTAACGTAATAGCAATATGATGCGCATTACTATGATTATGGATAACATGTGTTAAATCAGCTGTCATTCTAATAGTTTATGTATATTTGTAAGTATGTGTGTGTGTGTGTGTGTGTGTGTGTGTGTGTGTGTGTGTGTGTGTGTGTGTCTCTCTCTCTCTCTCTCTCTCTCTCTGTGTGTGAATATTCCTGCTTGAACAAGGAACCTATACTATACACATGCTCATCTAGCAGCAGATGCCGTATCTCCTCATCTCCTCATCCATACTTCGTTTAATGTCCGTTTTTCTCTTTGTCAGTACCGGGTATACCATGTGACATGTCGAATATTGCTGAGTGCGGCGTTCAACAAAAAACAAACAAATCAATGTCGCTACTCTCGTCATCTGATTTTCGTTTATGTCCGTTTTTCTTCTATGTCGCTACTGGGGGTAACAATATCTCCTCATTCAAACTTCGTTTAATGTTTTTAAATACTTTGATTGTATGGCACGTAATGGTACTTGTCATCACTCTACATTGGCGGTTGGTAAATTGTCAAGGGTTCTTGTCGAAATTGAAATGGAGTTGTTGAATGGATTTAGTTTAGGGGGGTCCGGGTGTTTGAAAGCAATTCAGTTTCTCTGTACATTAATTTCAATCGATATAAATATTAAAAAGGTATGTCGTGACTGTCATCCTGTTCATCTGAAGTTTCACATTTCGGAAAAGTACCAGTGAATATCCTATCAGGGCCTCCTTACTTATTTTTATGTTTCTGATCTCCCGCCGTCTGCACATTTCCCTCCCTCCGAAAAAACATAAATTAATGTTTAATCACGAATTATCCGCCATCAATCTGTATAAAGTTTGTACGCCGGTTCTCGAATAACATATCAAATTTCAGAATGGTTTGAAAACCACGGTCGTATATATATAAACGACACTATGCGTTCTTCAAGTGAACTGGACCGCCTGATCCAAGGCCTACTGGTAGAGCGTCCGCCCAAACAGCGTCATACCAAAAGACGTTAACAGATGTACTTGTTGTTACCCTGTCTGGAGCTCAGCATTAAGGGGCTAAAACAAGGACTGGTCGGCTCGGAGTCATGCAGTGCCTGAGTGGGGTATTCATGTTAAACTGCGGCATGGTATCTCCTATAGACACCATAAATCGGCATCAGTCCTGCCTACACACACGCGCGCGCGCACACATACAAACACGCACACACGTGCATGTACATCGCTATATAAGTGCGATTATCTTAGATGCGACGTTTAACCCCCCTTTCACCTCACTTCGAAAACTGTTGATCCTTGGAAAGGAAGCAAGTTCAAGCAACTTTTTGCTACGTTTATTTCTGTGTTCTGAAATTGTGATAACACCCGTCGGACCGCGAGTGGGCTGCCAGGATAATAAACCACTGGCTATGTGCCGACTATATAGAGTCAGTTCTCCGAATATCGTACACTTTTGGTCGCCGGTTTCAACCACCAAGCTTTGTATGCAGATACTGTGTCATGGGGCATGCCAGACGAAAGATTATCCAATCATCTTGCCACCCCATTAAACCGGTTGTACATTCCGATTTCCGTTTTGCCCACACGTTTAGTCAAAGGAGGCTAATAACGATCACTTAAATTCATACAGTGTGACTGTAATATCGTACGCAACTTCTTCTAATATCGTACATGTATGTATTTTAGAGGGCTCCGAGCATTTTCCGGTTACCCACAATGCGTCGCCGGCGGCCATGATGGTAGGCTTGTAAACACGCTCGGTCTGTCCTATTGTTAATGAACAGTCATCCAAACAAGTGAAAATGCCGACTACTTGCGCTATTGTCAATTGTCATAACCGATCTGGTAGAGACCAAAAGAACTTTTATCGGATCCCAAAGGTAATTTGTCATCAAGGCGAGGACACACAGAGGAAAAGCGAGAGGCGCAGACGTCTTTGGTTGGCGGCTATCAACAGGTCCGATATGAAAACGTATGATCAACTCCGTGTTTGTTCCGACCACTTCTTTTCAGGTATGATTTTTTTATTTCAGTTTAGTTTAGAATGGTGTAAGATTTGGATTTTGTCAGCGAGAAGTAAACACATCACGTGTGTATTACTGTTATCGTAGTCGTAATTACTGGCCGAAGTAATAATGGCTTTAGTTGACCAGTGATACATCTAAGCAGGAGGGGTGTATATCTGTCTCTTTTTCATATAGAGTCCATGCGAGTTGCACCCAACTCGCCTAAAAAATATATATAATATTTTGGTATGCGTTTGGCAAATATAACTTAGTTTAGGCCAAATTATCACAATTACTAGTATATTCATACACAAGTATGGAAATAATATAAAAAACAACGTATCTTCCATAGAATTTGTCTTCTGTCATATTTACAACTGCACTTCATGTTGAGTCAGTGAGTTAGAGCCCATTCCGTTACGCTATTGGGACCGAGACTACAACACTAACATTTAGGTACATTATGTGTTTAAAATGCATTACCGTACTATGTATTTCTGATAGTTTCATACTTATTCTAAAATACAAAAAACGACCGTAGTTCGCTCAAACTTTTTTTAGGCGAGTCGGGGCAAAATCTTTTTAGGCGAGTCGGATTTTAGGCGAGTTGGGTGTATCCCGTCCATGAACATGCATTTCTCACTCATGCAGATGATAGGTTGGTAGATGGCATGTATTATATTGCAATGACCTGATGACACTCCTCCAGTGATTCCACTAATTTATACATATTTCAGGAGAGTTGAATTTTTAACTTTTGCATATATATATATATCCTGCTTTTTTTAATTTCAGGTAAACCACATTTGTATGATGAAACAAATCCAGACTATGTACCGAGCATCAACCTGGGCTACGTTTCTGTGAAATCACCAGTGGTATCAGCTGTCAGGCATGAACGATTGCAGAAGAGGAAAGAATCAATAAAAGCTACTGAAGCTGCAATGAGCCTTTTGGAATTAAATGCATCATTTGCTATCGATACAGGCGCAGATGTCGGTGGACCTCTGCCAGAGACTGACTGTGTCGATACAAATACAGAAATATCTGACACAGAGAAGTTAAAATTGGCAAATATAGAAATTTTGGGATTAAAGGATGAAAATAGGAAACTTCGGGAGCAAAATGAGTGTTTGAAAAACATTGCCACCAACGGACCGTTAAGTTGTGTTATCTTGAAAAGGATTCGCCTCCACTAAAAAAGCAGGGGGGCTGTGTTGATGTTTGAGAAAGTACAAGGCATTAAAACCTGCGCAAGTACGATCACACAGACTGGCCTCTCTGTCATTTGTGAAGTTGGAGATTGGTGCCATCTTGGTCGTTAAAGTAGACATAACTTACTACCATGTTTGAAAACCTCCTGACTTCTACCTTCGCCGAACAACGATGAGAGTTAAGTGACTTTGCCATCAATGTAGCTTATGGTCTAAGGGAGATAATCATGTTATGATATGCTAATATTTAATAAGAGTAAGGCCCAGATTGGTTCCCGGATCCTCCGCTTGGTATCGCTGCTCTTGCTCTTCTTTCCACGGAAAGGACCGGTATCGCCCACCATGAAACAACATCACAAACACAGGAACAAAAGGGAACCCATCTAGAGTAAGGCCCTTGTATGAGCTCCACACAGTGTGTTAAATTAAACTCCACCTATCGTGTTGAATTTTCCGAGTTCTATAAGGAAATTCAAGCTCCTCACAGCGATAGCCAATTCATACACTGGGAAGGAGCTTAGAAATTACTGGTTATCTCCCTTGCTACAAGGTCGAATGACGTCATAACATAGTTCGGACATGCGTATAGTACACATATTATTTTAGACTGGTTTGCCTGGCCTAGATGCGCTTCTCATCACGGTTTCTTCCCTTAAGTTTGATAGAGTACAACGCAATGTCTGAAGTGTGCATGTCGACCCTGAAGGGAGCTTGTACAAGGGACGTAACTTTGTTTGATTTTACCAAGTAACCTTGTTACGCTGTTCGTACGCGCCCCAAGTTTAGCACCACAGCCAGACAGGAGCAGTCGAACTGCCAAGCTGAATTACTTCCCTTTGACCACAAATTGTACCCCATGGAACCAAATTAATTGAATTGTCTCCCTTTGACCATGAAAAAAACGTTGTAACATCGCAGATTGTAGACCAACATCAGGCCTACCCGTCATTCTAATAAATATGAAACATTTTTTCATAACACCCCCCTCCCCTCTTTATTGATCTCAGCAGGTACAGCATTTATGTATACATGTCATGTCAATACAATTGTGGTACATGGTATTCAAGAAATGTACATCTTTTCATACATATAAATTCTTCCCTGATAAAAATGGTCAACGTCCTGTATCAGTGTTTAACAAAGTGTGGAAGGAAGACCAGAAACTAAAAAAGTTTGCATGGTTACAATTTGTGAATGACATTACCTTTGTTGCATTGTAATAACTAATTATCTCATGTTGTATGTATTCAAAATGTGGCAGTAATCCTTTCCTACATTGTCTGTATATTACTTGTTTTGTTATTAAAAGTACAATATTCAATGGGTTGTTGTGTTTGCCTTGAAATCCAAACAAAACATTTTCTGTTTAAATCAATGGTTCCTCCCACAACAGATTTTATCCAAATACATGTATACAGTTTCTCCCAAATCTTTCTTACATGTTCACAATCATACAACATATGGATTATATACACAGTAAAAAAAGTGTTGCACCCCCTATACTTTTTCATGGAGGGGTGTTTTGAAAGGGTGTAAAGATAACCGAATTAATATTATAACCAGGATTTCGTGTATACCAACAAACCAGTGTATTGTCTATACAATGAACTTAAATGGGGTATTCCATGACCTTATGGCATGTAATAATCTCATGCTGAACTTTTACGAAAAATGAACGAACAACGAAGACGCATTAAGTATGGTGACATCTCAATAATTTTTAGTGACCAAATTCATCCAATAGGGTAAGAATGTCATATGGAGATTTGACGAACACAGTAAGTCAATATCGAGAACTTCCACCAAGCACTTGGATCACAGCTTGAAGTCTTCGTCTCATACTCCTCACCAGACGTTGGAATCGCTCCATGGGCAGCTGCTGCCACTCGTGTAATGCTGCTTCCAATTCACGCAAGTTCTGTGGAGGAGGGTCCCGACGATAAATCAGGCGTCCCAAAATGTCCCATACATGTTCCAGAGGATTCAGATCTGGACTCATTGCTGGCCATGGAATCTGCGTCAGAGCATTGTTGTGGATAACCTGGGTCACAGCTCGTGAACGATGTGGTCTGGCATTGTCATCCATGAATATCGGTCTGGTGGCCAGTGGATGATTGTCAAAATGGGGCACCACAACTGGATTCAGCACCTCTTGGATGTAGCGCTCCCCTGTCAAGTTGCCTCGTATGGTCACTAAATCAAGCTTACAATCAAATGAGAAGCATCCCCAGACCATAACAGATCCACCTCCATATGGTACAGTTGGCATGATGTTTCTTGCAGTATAAGCTGTTCCAGGACGCCTCCATACTCTCACTCTGCCATCCACAACATGCAGAAGGAACCTGCTTTCGTCCGACCAGTGGACTCTTCTCCAGGACCTCAAGTTCCAGTTCTGTCTCAGTCTACACCAGGCTAGACGTAGTCGTTTGTGGTTGTCTGTGAGTTTAGGTCGCTTGATAACCCTTCTGGACTTCAACCCTGCAGCTTTAAGACGATTTCTCACGGTCTGGGTACTGAACTGTTGACGAGGAAGCCAAAGACGTTTCAAGGTTGTGCTTGTAGCAAATGGATGACGCCTTACCACCCTCAACAACGCTCTGTCATCTCTAACTGTGGTCTTACGTGGTCTGCCAGAGGGTCTGAGATTCCTTACATCTCGTTGTGCGTGTTTTCTGACCAAACGGCTTATTGTTGAGTAGTGATGTCCGGTTCTTCTGCCAATCTCCTTGAACGAAAGACCTGCTCCATGAAGGCCAATAATCTGCCACTTGACTGCTTCTGACAATCATCTACCCGGCATTGTGGGTTACAATAAACTGGGCTGTCAGAGAACATCTTTTATAGGCGATGTTGAGCTTAAGAAGATACTGCAATCTGCAAATGTCATGCACCATGCAATTCACGTGCTGATTGCTACGTTTTGGTGATCATCTTCCCTCTGAAAACATTTAACATCAGATCCCCAAGGAATACCTACCATTAAAACCAGAGTCGGGCGTTCTAAATGTTGTGATGTATCAAACGTATTAATGTGGGGGTGCAACACTTTTTTTACTGTGTATAGTTTCAGGTTGATTTCTACTGAAAGTACACATAGGAGATACAAAACATGTTTAAGAAACTATCAAGGTCTAAACCTGTGATGAAAGTTTTTCCTTTGTTTTTATAATTACAATATAGTATCCCAGATACATTTTGCCCAGGATTGCATGTCAAAAGATACATATATATGCTTAAAAAGTGAAGCGATTTTAGGACTGATTCAAATCTCTGTTTAATGTCTTGTGACTCAAAATAGGTCAATGGTAAGAATGTTTTTAATTACAATATGACTTTATGGTGATGTTTTCTTTCTATTTTTATCAACATGTGCCTTCCTCTCAGATCCTTATCCACAATGTGTTTAAATTCTGGTTGTCGGGTTCAGCTTGCTGTCAGAAGTCAACCAGACATCTTTAAATTGTCTACTTTTTTGTATACATCGTCGTAGCCTAGAATACGTATTCTTCAATAAGGAACCTTTTTTCATTATATTTTTTTGCTTTTTCCACCCCATCTGTAAACCCTTGGAAATGAAATACACCAGTAATTAAGGACTCCCTACTCCAGGCACTTCAAATCACAAGGTGACTGTAGAATGTAGTAAACAGTTTGAAACTTGGATGAAAATTATTTCAAGGATGGATTCAAATAGAAACTGAATTAACTTTGTTTTTCAACGTCATTTAACTTTTGAGGAAACATTGTCATACACGGCAGTAGTTGCAATCACCTGTGTAAACTTGGGAGCAGACAAGGTACCAAGTACCCCATGCTTGTTGTAAGAGCAGATGCGGTGTATGTATCTGTTGGTCAAATGTATGACCTCAATGGTTTTGTGTGCTGACCATTAATATTTACTGGCCTCCATGATATATCCAGACTTGTACTGAATGGCATAAAACAACTCAATGCACATTATACCCAGGAGCGCAGTTGACATGTTAGGTCAGTGCACGGGGACACGTGCACATGTAAGGGAAAGTGCACTCTTAGCAATTCACCTCTTGTAGATTGTCCCTACATCATCACCTGTCATGGCAGAAGATCATTGTCATAGTCCATATTCCATTTGACCATAGACATATCTACTGCTGTCCCCAAACCACATGTTTGTTTGTTTGTTGTTTAACGCCGCTCTCAGCATAATTCCAGCTATATGACAGTGGTCTGTAAATAATCAAGTCTGGACCAGACAATCCCGTGGTGGACATCATGAGCATCTCTCCATGCAATTGGGATCGATGACATGTATCAAACAAGTCAGCAAGCTTGAACACCCGATCCTGTTAGTCGCCTTTTATAACAAGCATAGTCACCTTTTACAGCAAGCATGGGATGCTGAAGACCTACCAAACCACATGAAGTGAGATCATTACTCAACACTGAATCCTGTTGGACTGTGTGAAGAAAACACTTTGAGTCCAAGAAACATGATAAATCATTTATTTCTCTTTCACATCACCATGGGCTATGGAACATTCACAATAAAACTAGAACTGTTTTAACACAAAATTCTGGAACAGCTTTCTACAAGACATGGGAGTCTTAACAACATTTGTTTTGTTTTTGATCATGATATAACATCAAACTTATACAAACTTCCAGAAACATCCATAACATCAAACTGGCCAAACTGACTCAAAACATGGCCCTCAAATTGGCCAAATGCAGATCTCCGAAGACTCTTAGTATAATGTTTTACAAAAGAAACAGAAATGGTTTTGCCAAACTGGGTTAGATTAAGCTGCTGGGGATTAATCTGATGTCAAACAATGATCATGTTCATAGTCATATTCACCAGGTTGGGTGCAGCCTTTGTAAGTTTGATAGACGTTGTTCAAACAACTATATGTTGGTCTGCTTTTGTTTCACTTTTCCAGTGTATGTAAACCTAACAAGTGGAGGATTACCCTGACAGTGTCTCAGTACCACAGGTCACTAACTGCAATGTGTAGACCTATGTAGAAACTTGGCACCAGACCGAGGAGTCCCTCCTCAAACCCTCCATGGAGTCCCAAGCCCATTCCACAAAGCAATCTTTGCGCTATGACAATCGTAAGCCTATGTTAAAGTAATGGAGTTTCAATCACCTTAATACAAAGATCGCTCTGTGGAAGAGTGCCCAGGTTATGACAAGAGGTATGAACAAACTGCACGGTAACATTCTACAAACAAGACTCCGCTGGAATCACAAATCCAGTGCAGCTCTTACAGCTGATTCACCAGCACCTTGATTTATATTAGTTAGTGATGAGGTGCAAACGACTAGAGTCAATCAGGGACCGGACATTTTATCTTCTGGGGAAGGGGTATGGGAATTTTTTTTCTCAAAAAAATTAAAATAAAATAAAATAAAATAATGAATTGTTCCATACAAAAAAAATGCAAAATAATACTTTGTCCTCAGATTTCACCAACAACAATAAATGTCTATGCTGGAGATGCTGGATGCTCAGAAAAAAAGGTGTTGTGAAAATTCCAAGGCCCCCTAGCAGAATATTAAATGGTGGGTCCCTTAGCTACCACAGAAATACTTGTTGCTGACATTTAATATCACTTGCAGTGAAACCTTGTTAATCTGGACATCGTTCTTTGTGGTATCTGGATTAATAACTTCTAGATACAACCAGACATGGTTCCTTGTGATTTCTGGATTAATATTCCCTGGTAAATCACAGTACGTAGTAATGTCCCTCTATTTCATATAGGTAGGTTTACTGACATTAATCTCCCAGAAGTGGTTTACTGTATCACTGTACATGAATTATATGTCTGTCAAATGCAGTTTCATAATAAGAACATCTAAAGGCATTATTCAGCAATGTTAGTTATTACATTTATTTAATATCTGAACGTAATGTTCAAGGTATGTTTTTTCTCCTAAGTTTCATTCAAAAAACAAATCAATTGTCAATTTTTGGCAAAACATATGGATACACAGAAATATTACGTCAACACTAAAAGTTTTGTCACAACAAGTATTTAAGAAGTGGCAATTATTTGGAGACAAGACTTTGTTCACGATGGATGTGCCTATTTTCATGCTTGAATCAATGAATGACAAACCTCTTCAACCAGAAGATCCAAAGGTTTTGACACTAGCTACGCTGTAAGATCTGCACAAGAGTTGACATTTGTTCAGTCTTAGTTATAAATCTATTATTTCTAACAAACACATATTTAAAATATATTAAAAAACATAGTTTTTCAATAAATGACACAATTTTCCAAATCATAAGTGCATAAAAAAATGTTTTTAAATTTTTCCCCACCTTGTTTCATTTTTCCAAATAAGGTGGTTTATTGACAAACATCATAATGTCAGAGATCATATTGGCATATGGTCTCTGATTAGGAGAACATTAATAGTCTCTTTGGAATGATACAGTAAGTTGAAATAAATATTTGATTAAATTGCTTCACATGTTAATGTTAACCTTATGCATTGCAAAGCCAAATACTGAATGCTGAACAAAGAGCCTATCACCTCGCAACCAGCATACAACAATTCAAACAAAAGCACACGAGTTATTTCAGTTCTTGTCGGTAATGAGTATAATATTCAAACTGAAACTGACACCAAGCTAAACTACATGTTCCCAAGATTAGCACCAGACTATCATCACAAATACATGTGTGCCTCTCTCACAAAAAAATCTTTTAAAACAAAAATAACAAATTAATCTATGAAAACTCTCAATTAGTTTTACAGTGTATACTTATCTCCTGGCCATCAAACCATTTAACAGAATGTCTGCACACACACGTTTCCTGATTTGATATGACTCAATTGATTAAAACTCTCTGAATATATATGCATCATTGTGATAAGGTTTCCCCAAAGTAGCCAAACACAATATGATAGCTTGTTCTTCATGTCAGGATAGGTGATTTGCATTCAAGCCAAACCAGAGTTGATCCCTGAATGCAACACAAGGACTTTCCTGGACCTGGTCCTGGTTCTGGTCATCCCAGTACTAGTCAAATCGATTTTGAATTAACCAATCAAATCATAATGAACTCCTATCTTACTGTTTTCATTGGTTAATGTTCGCACTGAAGCATATGGCATTTCAGTCTTATTACAAAGAATACAATGACTAAGGAACTTAAGATATAAGCAGGCAGTGCTGTAGCAGTGAATATAATTGGCATGCTTATATGATTTGTGTGAGAGAGGGTCTAACACAGATTACAGCAGTATTTTTCAGCCATTTCCCCGAGATAACTCGTCAGCTCTACAGGTTGTACCCATGTGGGACATGAACATGGGTCTTCTATGTGTCAAGCAATTGCACTTCCTACTGAGCTACTTCAATGCCCCGTGTAAGACTCTGTTGTGATGATATATCAGGTAGTAACGGGCCTACATCAGTTCTTGTATTTCAAAGCATGCAGCGATAAACATTCAAAATATTACACTGAAATACTTTGCAAAAATATCACAATATACAGATATATCCTGGAAATAAAAGAAAAATATGTACAAATTAAATATGATAACAAACCGGTAAAACTGACTTACAAAACACAAACTTTTAGCATTTGATAAACAGCGTCGAGCACAGCAACGCGTCAAAATGTTTTTTTTACATACTGACACGTTGGTTTAGATGTTGATTTCACATTCATACAATTTTCAATGTCCCACAACGTGAGGTATACAGCCAGAGGTATCTATAATTAATATACAAAGGCACACATCAATAATCATTATCTGCTACAGCAATTCATCCAGACCAAGTAAGGGAGTTTACATGGTGATTTTATCCTTCTGAAATGTATGAATCGGTACACTGTTTATATTTACTCTGAGAAACAACTTCACACTTTCCTTGAACATGTTCATAACTTCATAGCCTACACAGAACAGATTGAATCAAGAACAAGGTGCTCAATGTTACCCCCAAAATACAAATCTTTAAAAATGGCTGTCATTGAAAATGGAAATATTGATTTATGGCCATATGCATCTGCAAATGCTGCATCCATCAAGAAAATATTGTTACAAATATCATATTACGCATGAAAATATTTGCCAAAATTAGGCCAACTTTCATTGAAGGATTCTGTCCCCAAATGGTAATAACAGATGTTTTTGTAAAGATTATGAAAATCATGGATAACCTTTTGCAATTATTGAAATCTTTCATAATTCACTCACAAAACGTTACTGACTGTGTACTTTGAAACGCCGCCTGTAAAACTCACTCTAGTATCATTTTTCAATGTACTGATATGTGAATATTACTTGGTAACTATCAATATCAATACAGAAATTTCCAATCAATGACGACCCTACTACCGGTAATTGAAAATTTGTAGCTGATGACATACAATGAAAGCCTGGCAGTTCTCACAATAAGCACTCAAGAAATAACAAAAACATCCAGTTAGATATTTATGTACAGTTCTCCCAGATCTTGGATTGGGCAACAAACAGCTAATTACTGCTGTCACTGTTCTGTCTGGAGGAGAAGGTGATTTCTCTTGAATTCATCTTCACAATTGTCAATGAAATAACATAAAGAGTACTTTTCGCAGGAAGATACTGAAGGAAGGCAGTTCTGTCTCTGTGCGGAAGCTTGTTTTTACGCCTCTTAAAGTAATATTCCAGCCATATCACAGCTAGGGGACATCAAGCATCGGCCCACATGTACCCATGGAGGGGTGCGGAGATACAAACCAGCCTGACTAGCCAACACCTTAACCACTAGGTTACCTGACTGTCTCATTAAAAGTCAACCCAAAGAAAGGAAAAATGAAGACGAAGACGTAATGTTCTTGTTTAAACTAACAGTGACTGGGGATGATTTTACACAGCTTTAGCAACAGTGTAATTAAATGGTGGCAGGGCTGAAACCTAACACAGACAAGTACTGGACAGATGCGTCAACAGTGAGTGAATGAATTATTCATATTACACATTCAATCTTAAGATTTTCAATTTTTGAAATCAAATGGAACTTTGTTTTAACTGCAGTTTAATTGTCTGAGATTCAGAAGTTAACCAAAACAATTTCCATAAAAACATTCATTTTCAACATTCCACTTTGATAACATAAAACTGTGAAACTGTATCATTAGAGATAGTGTGGATTTCTAGATGTGAGTTTGAAAAGAATATAAAAAAACAACCTCATATATGACATGTACAACAGTGCCAGACTACAAAAAAAATAAAAATAAACATCATACAAAAGTACTTTGATTTTTTTTATATCAGAAGAAGAAATATCTGAAAACTAAACATATGTAAGTATGGCTCCTCCACCTTGAGTAAAATAAATAACATAAACAAGATCACATCACTTTTATCAGTTTATAGCATTGTTCTTGTCATCTTTGACCTTTGGCGCATTCCAAATTCCACAGGAATTACATTCACCTTTAGGATTAGGCTTGACCTTGAACTGGTTGAGCCTGGAAAAAGAAAGGACTGGTGAAAACAATTGGAAAAATATGAGTAGGCAAATTTTGCTCTTTAAGGGTATGAAAAATTCCAAGGGAATTGTTAAATCAATGTTTGAACCATGTTTTCAGATTATACCTGCTGTTGCTGTTGCTGTTGCTGTTGCTGTTGCTGTCCTTGAATAGGTTGCTGCTGATTCTGTATGGGTTGCTGGGCTTGTTGATCCTGAACAGGTTGCTGACCCTGAACAGGTTGCTGGGCTTGAACTGGTTGCTGGTTCTGAACAGGAACTTGCTGTTGTTGCACAGGAACCTGTCCTTGCTGCTGCTGATTCTGAACTGGAACCTGACCTTGAACTTGCTGTTGTTGATGCTGAACTGGAACCTGACCTTGAACTTGCTGTTGTTGACCCTGATTTGGTACTTGACCTTGCTGTTGTTGAGCCTGTTGCTGGTTCAACTGCTGGCCCATTTGAGGCTGCTGAAGCATTTGCTGTTGTTGCTGAAGATGCAGCTGTTGCTGTTGTTGCTGTTGATGGTGTTGTTGCATCTGGGCATGTTGTTCTGCAAGTTGTTGTTGGACAACCTGCTGCTGGGCAAACTGTTGCTGTTGATGTTGAAGAATTTGTTGTTGCTGTGCAAATTGTTGCTGTTGCTGTTGGAAGTCATGAGCTTGAGGCTGACCTTGATACTGAAGATTCTGACCTTGCTGTGGCATGTGACCAGGAGGAACTTGACCCTGGTTCATCTGCATCACACTTGGGTCAATGTGTTCAGGGGGTTGCTGAAAATTGCATTATAAGATCCATATAAGAAAACATTTTCAGACAGAAATCTATTTTTGTCAATACAAGATACAACCCAACCCTGGGAAAGAAGAGGTTGCAAGTCTTATTAGGCATCTCAAACATGGAAAAAGTCGTTTCGAATAACAAGTCTCTGTAGCTCTCATGAATGTATGGATATTTTCAACAGCACATATAAAATTTGAAATCATGCGAAATCAATATCATAAAGGTCTTTAAAGAATCAAATTTAACAATGAACAACCACACAATTCCTATTTATTCAGTTTTCCTATAATAGTATGTTATTATTTATTGGCGCTGAGAAGACAAGTACAGTCAAGTCCCGTTAATCCGACATGGTTGGTTGCATATGATTATGTCGGATTAACAAGTATGTCGGCATAACAAAATTAAGTAGAATCAACGTTCATGATAGAAAATCAGACAACTACACGATAGATAACGATACAAACACATAATAAAAAAATATAATGTTACTTTGTTAGCGAAATATGTTTCCTAATCATGCAACCTCTAAGGCTCAACACAAAACAACTGTTACGGACTGTATGACTTATTCAAAATACTTTAAAAAGCATAGTCTGGAATGGAAGTCACAAGTTTGAAACTGGTACCGCAAAGCTTAAGAAAGCTGCTTTCTAAGTGGCTAACGTTGACTTCCTGTTAGTCATTCCATTGGTCAGTCATAGTTCGCGAAAGGTTGTTCTGACGTGACCTGTAATGGGATGTCTGTGGCGATAGCAAGAACTTGTATCTGATTTTAATGAGATTGAGGTAATCTAAGCATGTGATTAATCCTGTTTTCTTTATTTAAAGCATTAATTGTTTATTGTTAAGCAAGTTTATCTCTGCAGCCGTTGTAATATGCAACTACCAGCCGACTCGTCTCGCATCAAAACATTGGCTGTGTACTCGCGGGCAGATGACCATGGAGTACGTTGATCACTGTGTCGGATTAACAAAACTGATTAATGAGTGATTTCGGTAATTAGTTGCAAATTAGGTGTGTCAGAGTCAGAGTGCGAGACTGTCGGATTAACGGGTCTAAATAGCACTGATTTAACTGGTTCCCATCATAAGTGTCGGATAAAGCCGATTGTCGGATTAACGAGAGTCGGATTACTGAGACTTGACTGTAGATGTCTCTGAAGCAAAGTTATTAGAGAATGTCACATGAACTCATGGTACTGGTGAATAAAATGTGAACAGACTATGAACCTACATTAACTAATCCAGGCTGAGCATGATGTTCCTCAACAAACTTCTGATATTCGTCATCAGTGAATAGTTGGTCCTCATCAACAGTCTGCAATACCAACAAATAGAAGAGGATCTTTAAACAGAGGACCCACATGGATACTGTCACCAAAGCAGCAGAAATTTATTAATCTCTTATAGATATTCCTCAATATCTCTGCGGGACTGTCTCATTCATTCACATTCTGTGATGCTAACCAATGGTCCATCTATCATGTCTACTAATTATGAGTGAAATGACATACTTCTGGCATCGTCCTAAACTTTTAGTAACTGAATGAGAATGTATTGCCAAATGTGTCTATCTTCCATCCATCAGTCACTTTCATCATCATCGATCATCTATCTTCATCTATGATCATCATCCATCCATTCATCCATCCATCAACAATCTTCTACCATTCATAGCACCTATCCTTCATCAACTCCCTTCCATCATGCATCACAACCCATCCCTCATCCACAATCCATCATCAACTCCCTTCTATCATCCATCACAACCCATCCCTCATCCACAATCCATCATCAACTACCTCATCATCCATCACAATCCATCATCTAACTTCTACCATCAGTCACAACCCATCCTTCAATCTCTATCAACCACCTTCTATCCATCAATCACCTTCCATCAATTACTTTTTTTCATCCATCATCACCTATACTTCCACCAACCACCTTCCATCAACCATATTCCATCAACCATATTCCATCCAGCCAATATCTCCATCCTTCCTCACCTTCCATCCTTCATCCTTCTTGAACTCCTCGTTATCTCCATGAGGTCCGGTGTATTTCAGGAACTCGGCCTGGGAGATCCGAGCATCCTTGTCCTTGTCCATCTCAGTGAAGATATGCTCTCTCATTCTGTTCATCTCCTCAAACCTCTCCATAGGGTCCGTCCCGGGAGTGTTGCCATTGTACACCTTATCCAGCTGAAACAAGGGCACAGCTACAAGTCAGTGCAGGTCAAGAGTGAGTGAGTGAGTTTGGTTTAACCCCGCTTTTAACAATATTCCAGTTATATCGCGGCGTGTCAGCTTAATGTGGGAGGAAAGCCCGAAGTGATGCAGGTCTCAGACATTTACCACTATGGTGAAACCCACGAGCACGGGTATGGTGCTGACAAACCTAGAAACATAATCGGGGCAAACCGGGATTTGAACCCACAATCATAGGTTTCTGGCGTGCCCAAGGGGCGCAACTCCCTTAGACCGCAACATTCACGCTATCATATTCGCAGTATTAACCACCCTCCTCCAAGAAGTGTTCCTTGACAAACTTCTAGACAAATGTGTCGGTAATATTTATAAGCAAACGTATCCCACAAAAGTCTGCAAATTTACATGACAATCCACATTTTCTTGAGGTATATTACACATCATTTTATAGAAAACAACATTGCAGAAAGGGGAAGATAACTGCCTAGGAACTACTAGCTATCAGTGCCATTGACGTTTGAACTGAATTTGTTCACTACCACTCATTCTCTTAAAACAAATTAAACTCGCTGTGTATGGTATTATGCATGCAGCCTAACAGGACATGGTGCCCCTTACTATTGATGCATGATGACAGACTCACATCAGCCAGGTTATACTAATGAGTCAGGCAAGATAGATGGAACACTCAAAGAGAATGACTGGATTATCTCCCTTTGACTACTCATGAGACATCATCCAGACCTTGGCACAAGTCCTATGAAACATTTGCACCCAATTCTCACCTCACTCTGCAGCACTGCCTCAACTTCTTCAATACCCCAGAAACCATCATCTTCAATATCTGCAAGGAAGGGAGCTAACCGTGAACACAACAATACATGAAGGAATATAATTAGAAACAATTGAGTACTTTTTCAGCTAACGTACAGCAGTAGACATGTGTGGATTCATGTCTGGGGTTGCTGCTGATAGTATAAGCATCAATGCCATCAGGGTAGGATTAGTCCTTGAAGGACTTCACAGTCACCAAGATAATTATGCAAAAATTCCATGGCCATCTGGTCATGGCCTGGCCACTGTGGCTAATATTCTCCTGGACATACCGTGTAGCTTGAAGAAAGTCTTAGGATTAAATTCCTGGTCTTCTAGATGGTCCTTCTTCTCCCAGACTTCTTCAAACTGATCCTTGCTTCCCTGTAAACACAAATGATGGCCATACAGCTTATGTTTCATAGCACAGTTAAGGGATGCAACTCTGCACAGCAAATCAACAGCTTTAACCAAATGAGCCACCCTTTCTTTTAACATTGGATATACAGAAACATGTTCTGTTCACAAATACTTGCCCTCAGCACAAAGCAAGATTTCCAGACATTGTTGTCACAAACGTCCATGCATCAAACACGTTATTGTTGAGTCTCATACACAATACTTTTAAATTGTAACTAAGTAGCTTTTTCTTCAAAACATGAGGATATAAATACATTTACTGATTTAGGGTGAAAAAAAAAAGAAGAAAAAAAATGGCTCATGAAACTTATTCATGGGAATAGTGGACATGCACCTGATAATCATTACATTTTAGGATTGGCACCATGTATGGTACCATACTCTTGAGAATGATTGACTAAACCTTGTTTTATGCCTTGAATAGCATTGAAACCTGCAAAACAATGGTTGACAGCGTGAGCAACACTCCACTACAGTGGCATATGACACACAATCAGCCAGGTAATAACTCCAATGTCACATACAGGGGTACTGGAGACCTGTTCTACCAAAGAATACACACCTCCTTTTGCACACACAAATGAATGGCTTAATACCATGCGTATGGTACCGTATGGTAGCGTATGGTAGCGTATGGTAACGTATGGTAGCGTATGGTAACGCATGGTAGCGTATGGTAAAGTATGGTAACATATAACTGACAACACAGTCCTGGACTCTTCCCCAAGACTTACTGGATGGTGCATTTTCGGATGCTCAGCATGCTGTTTCTTGATGTCCTCCAAACGTGTTTCCTCCTTCTTCCTCTCTTCCTCTGACAAGTGATTTAATTTGTCCCTCTTCTCATATTCCTTCTCCATTTCATATTCTTTGAATTCTTCCTTCCTCTGTTCATCCAGCTGCTCAAGGTCAGTTGTAGTCTGTAGGGAGGAATATCATTGTTATCACAAAGATGAGGATTGTTACATACAAGAGGGTACACAATACATCAACAGAGAAACTGTCGTTCTGTGACATGAGTGATCCAAAGGGAAATAGTGCAATGACCAGCTCCCAGACAGAGGTATGAACATTGAGAGAAAGCTCCATTTATCAATGGTTCAGGTGAGCTAACATTGAGATATCAAACAGATTACACACAGCGTATACAGCAACAAACAATTGATTATTATTGTTTCATCTAAATTGCTCATAAATGTAATGATGGTAGTTAAAGAAATATTATTTTTAATATTTTATTTCATTTCAAGCAAAGAGCTCCAGAAATTTGTGTTCATTAACTGTCGATGAAAGTGATTCACACGAAGCATGAATGTTTGGTAGGACTGTGTATAATTGTGTATGTATTTCATCAAGTAAAGAAAGGAACACACATAGCAATTTTCTTTGTAGGTACATGGGGACAAACTGATGTGATTGAGTGAGTGAGTATGGTTTTATGCCGCTTTTAGCATTATTCCAGCAATATCACGGCGGGGGACACCAGAAATAGGCTTCACCCACTGTACCAAAGTAGGGAATCGAACCCTTTAACGCTTTAACCACTAGGCTACCCCACTTCCCCAAAACTGATGTGAGGCAGGGTGCTTGGTATTGTGGCGGGCAGGGAATCTAAAGATTAATTTATAATGGCTAAAATAAATGTTTGGACCTGTGCTAACAACATTAAGAAACTGTTCAGATTTATCATTTCCAAAATGGTTGCCATCCTGGCTCTACAAGTGATCAACAAACCTGAATTGAGTCACTTTGACAATACCATAAGGCATTTAAAGATCATTCACAAAATGGCTGTTCACTTGTTTCAGCAGTGCTTTAAAAGGTGTCAAAGATGTCCAAACAATGTCAAAGCTTACAAAGATGTGAGCCAATCAATTCTGCATCTGAACATGTGAAATGAAAATGTGTGAAACCTATTAACAGCCTCTGCCATTTCTATAGCAACCACACCCTAGATGTCATCAAAATGTCATGGCAAGGGAAGGGATCTTGTTGTCATGGTGAGGAACTATGTACCTGTTTAATGAGTGTCTCCAGATCCTTCATTTCAAATGAGTGAGGATTCTTTACATCAAGATGGGCTGGTACCTCGATACCTCCAACACCTGCCAAACAAACACACAAAACCAACTGATTAATATAAGCAATCACAACATAATCCCTCATTCATGAAATGCATGTATGTTTACAATTCTAACAAAGCCGACAGGTTATATTCTATTACTGAAGTAGAAACAGGATTCATTAGGACTATAGGAGATTCCTACAGTGGAGTCAGTACCATCAAACAGTTACCTGGAAACACCAAAAAAATCAACATGTTGCAGAAAAAAAGGTTATTATCATGATGTTGTTTCTTTGTTGCAATATTCTAGCTAGATGACTGAGGTTTTTGAAACAATCAAGTCTGGACAAGTCAATGCAGTCATTGACATCATGAGTATCAATCTACGCAATTGAGATGAAATTCACCAAGTCCGCAAGTCTGACCACTCAATCCCATAAATACGACAAGCATGGGTTGCTGAAGTCGTATTACTAGCTGAAATGATCTTTCATATTTACAGTGAGTCGTGCTAACACTGTTTTGAGCAATATTTCAGTTATATCAAAAGCCCAAAGTGAAGCAAAATATAATCATTTTCCACATTCAACAGCCTCTGTCAAAAATGTTTGAGCCTACTAGTCCCAACTTTTCCAACTTCAACAATTTTAATAGCTTTTACTGTTACAGGATGGGCAATGGTGAGTTTAAAAGGGAAGTGTAACTAGATTTAGGTTTTGGACCAATGGCATAAGTTGTAGACTCCATTGCTTGAACCCATCCATCTAACTATCATCATGTATGGTGGCCTGTCCATAACCCTCATAACACTATGGACATTGACCTTTGACTTGAATAGATTTTAGCTGTTAGAAGGAAATAAATTACTTTTGACAACAACAAATTGGGGATGACTTTGTTTGTCCTACAATTAGGTGAAATAAAAATACAAGATTAAATACCCACTCTTAATAGAACTGGAGAATAATATATATAATAATCTTTAATCTAACAACAAAAACAATTACCCGGTAATTACCTTTCAGTGTCTCTCGAAGTTTTTCATTTTCTTCCATCACGTACATTTAATTTAGGCCAATTTTTTCGTAAATCAACTAATATATACCGTATTCGACGTAATAAGCGCCCCGCTCCAATAAGCGCCCAGGGCGATATTTGTTAATATATTGGCAAGTGAACAATACCAATTAGCACCCCTTCCAACTGATCAATGTACACAAGACTTATTTATCTGTGTATGATACACACTTGTGTGTTACATGCACCCTTAATTATGGCCAATTTAATTCTGGAAAAATATATCTGTCGTACATAAACATTATCTTTCAACTCTGTTTTTTTCACCAAAATAATATTCTAATAAAAGCCCCCTATTCCTAATTTTGTGAGCGCCCTGGGCGCTTATTACGTCGAATACGGTAATAAAAGGTCAAAAGGGTTCCCAAGGGCTACTTCAGAAACTAAAAGAAAACAAGAACTAACCACAATACAACAATATCATGTTGTCATTTCATCTCTGGCGTGGTGCCATGTGACAACAGATTGTAAATTATGACACAAAATAGAAAATCTACCACAGACAAACATGATCAGAGTCCAACAAATATACTCCTAGCTGATAGTTAGAATGGCACTTTGTTAATAACAGTGATGCTCCGTGACCAATGATACAAATTTCAGCTCTTTTTGTAAATCATTTTTTGCCCATGTTTTATTGGGAGAGTATATCAACCAGCCTGTATCCATATTATCCAATCCGTATCTTAACTGGCATAAAACAGAGGGGGGGAATATCAAAGCTCTCTAATCATGCTGATGCCATGCAATCTTTTGACCGATTGTCATGATCATGATCTTACACAAAAACAACCAACTCATCAAGGTCATAAGAATTGTTATGGAAGAGGTTAGTTAGGGCATACAGGATTTAGGGATGCATTTCATCTACTCAGGTTAATGATACAGTGTTATATACAAAAATTACAATTCAGCTAGTGCACTACAATCTTCAAGAAAACTATCTTGAAAACTAAAATGTGTCAATATATCATATTAAATCCTGGATATACCAGGAACACACACTATATAGTAGGGGAGATAAGAAATTGACATATAGATTTGTAAATAATATTTTTTCTATCATTCTATCATGGCTAGATTAACTATCATCATACGAAACGAAATGGGTGTTAACTTCTAACTTGTATATCTGTTACAGGTTGTTTAGAATTCTTAGCAGTCCTTTACCTTTTACCTGTCATGAAATTAGTCACCTTTTGTCAACATTTTGTCAAAACTTCCTTAAACATGATTACTGAATTGTCATGATTATTATGATTATCATCATTGTTATTTTCAAGTCACTGCTCAAAACTCACATCATGGCAAAATGTTTAGAAAAAGAATAGACTTTCACATTGGCTTACAAAAAATACAGTACTTGATTACTTGACAGTTATACAATGTTCCCTCCGGAATTTTTTTTTTAACTTTACCATGTTTACAAAAATGTATCTGTCATTGAATATTCAAATGAAAGTGTTCTGAATAGCTACTTTCGAATAATTTGCTCAAGAATACATTTTGCAGATATACACTAAAACATTTACGTGAAAGAATTAATATATGCAAGCCTTTCAATTCCAATACATGTAAAAAACATTATCATTTTCTTTACAAAGATGAAAGTACTGACTGTGTGATGCTTATTGCAATATTGAGATACAATACTTATCACTATGACATTACAAGATCACTTCACAGTTTTTCTGGGACATTAAATCCATTTAATTACCTAATGAACACAGTTTATGATATGCAGTCACAACAGGAGTGAGCTATCCAGCCTCCATACAATGTTCTTAAACACAGGTTTAATATGTGTGCTGTTAAAGGTGAAAAAGTGTTGCTTAAAGTGTGTTCGGTGCAAAAATAAACGGATTAGCTAAATGCAATGTGAACATTGTAACGAACACATACAATATTTTTGAAAAATACTTCTAAACAAATTTTAAAATTTCACAATTCTTAGCGACCAAAAACATGGAATCCGGTCCATATTCATAGTCGCTTCTAACCTCTATTCAACTATAGAACACCATGTACATGCTGTACAATAGGCTCCATAATGATCTTTGGAACAGTGAGAATGGCCATTTCTATATCTGGTTATGTTAGGATGCACTTTAACCATACCATTTTCCTTTCTACACAGCCCCCTGTATCGTCCAGCCATAAACTAAGCAAGTCTAGAATTTCCACATCTGAATCTCCCATCTCACTGGGGCTCCTATTACATTTAAATGGAGATGAACCTGTTTGTTTCTATCCATATTATATATGTTCAGAAACTAAGTGTTAGTCTAAGACTCACTCTACACATACCCTACAAACATCCTAACCTGTGTTCTGCTGCTAATTAGATTTTTTTTTATTAGAAGGCATTTTAAAAGTTTCCTTTTCACAAAACCAAAATTGGTTCATTCATGTATAGCTTAAAATTAATCACATTCAAATAGAAATTATGATTAGTTCAGATGTCTTTTTCAAAGTAAATTGTCGCCTTGGAAGCTAAATTTTGGGCAATAACAAATAAGAAAGGATATTCTCACTTCTCTCATATATATTCAATTCAACTGAATAGTCAGGATACAATAGAAGTATTATCATTATATATTTGAAGCATAGTGTTGATGTTATATAGTTTATGGAAACAAAAGTTTCTCAGAAATGTCAAAACCATGTGACAGAGGATGTTTATACAGCCAACCCTACATGAATAACTTAACCACTGAAACTGAATAGGTAGATCTTAACCATGTTAACCATGGAATGTATGATCAAACAAAAACCTACAAGAACAGGATTCTCAACTACATTCATTTTCAAGGTGTAACATATGTACAGTTCCTACATGAACACCATTATTCCAAAGCATTTGTAAGATATTTCATTAAATTATCATTTTTGTTCAAAATACACATGTTAAAATTCACTGTATAAAATTCTGTCACAAAGTCTAAACAGGGATATGACAACTCACTTTGACACCCATGTCTCCAAATGCAACTACCGGTCTATACCTATAAACAACAAAAACTATCCCCAAACTCAACATACAAACTAAAAAAACTAATGTCTGTGAGTTGTCACATCCCTAACTCAACTGAAAGGTGTTCTAGGGAGCAAGGCAGCATACGTTGTGAGCAGGCGACAACTACAGCAGCAGACGGCATTGAGGGAGCAGACGTCAGTGCGGAAAACTGCTCTTTGTCAACAATAATGGCCTACCTCCATGATAGGCTATGTAATGAAGGACTTTCGTACCCTGCATCGACCTCATCTGTAAACGGCGGAGCTCCTGGAGGCGATAGATTTCACGACGCTTAATCTCATCTAGTTTGGTGCGGACTTGATGTCCAACAAGCTCTATGTGTTTTGCCACACTCCCATCCTAGAAGAGACATAGACACATGTACTGCTTGTTTCAAAACATTTATCAGTTATACATGTAATACTCTTAATATTCAGATTCTATGAACTTGATAGGTCACCGAATAACTAAAAATCGGTTTACTTACCTTTATGTCAGATACATTAGACTCTTCCAATTTCTTCCTGAACTCTGGATCTTCCTCCAGTGCCATGACAACTTCACGGAGATAGCGGTCATAAGGTAAATTCGTGCCCTGGAATAAATTGGTCATAAACATCTTAATACTGATGAAACTTGATTTTCAAAGCATTTGATGAAAGAATGAATAATATTGCACTCAACATGCTCAAGTCATTATTCTGTTTTCAATATGTAGACACTAACAATTTTAGTAAAATTAAAATATTTTTTACATTTGTATACTTATCCTGCTTTACTTCATCTGATAAAGATGCATTAAGTAATGCAGGATAAGCTAAAAAATGTATACACAGCCATAACACCATCAGCATGACTTGGGAAGCCCCTAATTGAGTGGGTGAGTGTGTGAGTTGGGTTTAACGCCGCTTTTAACAGTATTCCAGTTATATCACAGCGTGTCAGCTTAATGTGGGAGGAAACCCCGAAGTGATGCAGGTCTTAGACGTTTACCACTTCGGTGAAACCCACGAGCACGGGTATGGTGCTGACAAACCTAGAAACACAATCGGGGCGAACTGGGATTCGAACCCACAATCATAGGTTTCTGGCGTGCCCAAGGGACGCAACTCTGCACAGCGAATCGCGGCGCCTTAGACGATTGGGCCAACCGTGCCCCCTGTAATTGAGTGGGTCCTTGATAAGGTCGAAACCTGAGGTGTCAACTTTTCAAATGAAATGATATGCGAAAACAACCTGTAACAAAGCTACTGGAATAGTGTTTGACTAAATAAGCTTTTGTTGTCATTATTCAGTCTTTTATCACATGATGGATAGTTTTATCAATGAGATTAACCAATCCAATAACTTGGTTTTGTGATCTGATGACTTCACAACTGAGGTCACCAACCTGATCAAAGGCTTGCATAATACAATTGTATTCCTAACATATTTATGATGCGAAAACACACACAGCAATTGATCTCTATTGCCTGACGGATCTTCTTAGAGAATGGACAGCATATAAAATACCAGTCCTGCACCACGACATATAACTAGTCCTCTTGTAGATTACTCAGGCATCTGGTAAGTGTTAGCAGCTGTGTATCAGAGATCTGTTAACCAGTGTTAATTCTAGACTTGCTAAATTGAGGGCTAAATTGACACCAACAACACAGGCCATTGCAAGTGAGTGAGTGAGAAGAGTTGAACAGCACTTTTAGCAATATTCCAGCAATATGCCAGAAATAAGCCAACAATATTCCAACAATATTCAAAGAATATTCAAAGAATATTAAAAAAATGTCAGCAACATGCCAGCAATATTACAACACTGTTCATCAATAACACAGTATGTGGACCCCAGGGAATGTCTTCACACAAAGTACCCCTGTGATCTTCAACATGATAAGTGAGTGCTCTACCGAAAAGGCTACCCTCGTCCCTGGGCTTTTCCAACATTAACCCACACCAATAAATAGTTGTTTTATCTTATTCATTAGGCTTACATGTGACACATTTCTCTGTGTTAATGTCAGACTAAGCCACTCCGGTCCATCAATATACTTAATGAACTCAAAAACTGAATGAGAAAGAAGCAATGGGCAGCTTGACATTATGGATATCTTGGCTCTGCATTTTGTATAATGAGGTCAATCGCAAGAAATAGCCCACTCCCTTAAACTGATAACTGAATCTGATAGGCCCCATTGGCCTATACCTGCGACACTTTGGTAACATGATTCACTTTGTTAAGAATTTGGTGCTGTTTTGGCCAAACTTAGCAGGCTACACATTCCATTTTGTCTGCTACTCCACTTCCATTTGGAAAGGCTAGCAATAAACATGATAATTCAGTCACAACTCACAACTAATCAATTCACAAACAACAGGTAAACATACAGTTACATGATATAGTTATCACACAAAAGAGTGCTAAAAAGTAGGAGTCGTTTTCCCAGCGAAAAAATGGAAGTGAGGTGAGCACTGTGAAGTGACATGAAATGGGGTTTAACTTTAACATCGCGTTCAAGATTTCACTTCTATAGCTTCTATAGAAATGTGCATGTATGTGTATGTGTGTGTTTGGTTGTATGTACTAGTCTGGGCTAATGCCAGGTTTATAGTGTAGCATATTGAAAAAACATGCCACAGTTTAACATGGACCAGTCCTTATTTAAGCCCCTCAATGGCGAGTGCCAGGCAGGATAACAACAAGTACCATCATTTAATGTCTTTTGGTATGACGCGGCCGGGGATCGAGCCACCTCCATGATAGATGCTCTATCTAGCCGTTCATATAATTGACTATTAATGGACGAAGTGTTAGAAACATAAGTACCATATACAATTAGTGGTAAGAGAGATGACACACAAAAATAGAATACACTAACATCTTTAAATTAAAAATAGTAACATGTTCATTAGTAAAAAGATATTAACTCACAATGTACATCAAAATCCTAAAAGTTCTATCAAATGAAAGAAACACCAGCAACCATGGGAACAAACTGAAGGAAATAAATCACATAAAATAATGTAAAATGATGTAGAGGCTTTCAATCTCCTTGCTCCAAAACTATCTAACTCTATAACAGGTTACAATAGTACTTCCCACCAACCAGCACACTGTAGCAAATGTCTCTGACATCCTACCTATCTCCACAACAGCTGCAGGCGACATGGAGCTTTCATACTCTGTGTAAGCATTTGTAAGAAGAAACTTTATTAGTGCTATAAATGTAGTCAGCTTGGGCAGAATTGACTAAAATGCCAACCCTATGTATCAAAACATATTGGGCTATTTGACTCACGATGTGCTATACATGTGTACATTAGTTTACCATGTGGCCCTGTCAAAAGAGGTGGCTGGCATCAACCATGCTGCATTTAACCAGAAAGATTGGTTAATTTAGATTCATTCTTAGTTTTAGTATAATGTAATAAGATTTGGCATTTTATTTTGCAATAAGGTGGTGCTAACATGAGAAGTTATCAGGTTTCAGTGAGTCTCCAATGGATGGTGATTCTTTCTCCCAGACTCACAAAATCTCGGACTCATTGCATAAATATACAGTTGTAATTGGAAGAGCAGCATCACACGTGTGGCTATATCTATAACAAGTAAAATGTATGCAATATTTGCTCATGGAGGAACAGGTTATTTTAAGTTGAGATCCTGGGAAGCTGTTCCCTCATAGAACTGTAGGGGATACCATCTGAGAATCAAATCTGAGTCTTCAGTGTGACTCTGACAAAAGATCACTTTAACCACTGGACTACCTCGGTCCTAGGACTAAATTAGCATTTTTAAGAACTCAACACCAGGTTCAAGGACTGTTTTAAGATACAAAGTTGAAAGTTAATGAATATGTGACTTTTATTAGTAGCCCACAACAATATCATGCTTCACATCAACTGCTTCTTCTATACAGAACAAGATTTTGTGGATCAGATAATCTAAAAATAAAATCAACACTTTTATGTCACTGACCACTTTGTTTTTTGGTTTGTCTGGTGTGTATCGCTGCACTCAGCAATGTTCCAGCTATATGTAAGTAATCATGTCTGGAGCAAACAATCCAGTGATTGACATCATAATTATCGATCTATGCAATTAAGATACGATGACATGCATCAACCAAGTCAGTGAGCCTGACCACCCAATCCCATTAGTCACCTCTTAGAACAAGCATGGGTTGGTGAAGGCCAATTCTAACCCATATCTTATGGGTCCCTTGACCACTGAATAAATCAAATACAATATATGTATTGCCCTGAGTACTATTCAGTATTACTTTTCCAAATGTCAGTGAATGATATTCTCTTAGATCTTAAGGGGAGTCATCGTGTCTTTGAGGCTTCCTACTACAGTTCATTCTTAATCCACTGACCCATGAAAGTATTATGTTTCTATTATTAAACTCATGACTTTGATTTTCCATCTCTTCTGAACACTGAGCACTGCTGAAAAGAAGCAGTCACTTTGCACACATTCAGTTTAGAAGAAGCAGCACTTGCAGTTGAAGGGTTTCATTGACAATGTTAATGTACACAAGAATCCAGTCTTGATAAATCAGCACATCTTCCATTCTCAGAGTGCTAATGTCCACACTAATAACTTCAGTCACACCACTGGAGCCTATGGGCATATATATGTTAATCAATCTGCATCACGCCCAAGGCATCTGCTACATATCAGGAACTTATCACAGAGTATCATCTTCATCTGAAACTGGTTTTCACACGTACTAACCAATTTTGATATGATAAGCATTGTTTCACAGGACACAACATACTGTGTCCTATATGCATAACGCTTCTGAATGGATGCAAATAGTATCCACTGCAAGCTACATTGGATTTAATTCAAACAAGAAAATCCCTTTCGCAAAGAAGTAAATGACATCTTACATAGTTTTATACCTGAGACCCCAAAAAATCATTACCAGTCCCCATTACCCACAAATATATAGACCTAGGTAAATCCCTGGATTATGACATACATAAATGGCTATCTGATTTATGGTAGAATGAAACTGACAAACTAGTTTGCACTTACATACAGAACAGCTGACATCCATCAATAAAAATCAATATAATAACGAGCACGCTTACAAAACAGCTGGTGCACAGCAGAAGGACATTAAAGTAAAGGATACTTGTGTAAAAAAGAAGCAAGGATCATGAAGATGAGGTAATTTGTTAAAAACAGATAATCGACTTATTTTTCTGAATCAGATGACCATGTGTTACAAGCTGTGTAAAGAAACTAGGACAACAGTGCGGAGTTTGAATTATGAATGAAAGACAAGGAATCCTAATCATCAACTTAATGTTAAATTTAAGATATATGGGGTCCTGAGATTTAAATACTATACCAGAAAACCTCAAATAACAAAGAACCACCCCTTAATTCTTAACATGGCTGATGATGACACCTAAACAGATATTCTTAAAAAAAGATGTTTACTATCAAAAGATATTTTGATATTCAAGCTTAGATGTGCACCATAATATTATCAACTGGATAAAGAAACAAAATTCTTGAAATAAGATTTGATAGATCCATAATCAATATAATCTCCATACATAGAATCAATTTCTTAAACTATCAAACATGTTGCCAGTGCTACTGTATATTTTTATGTCCACCTACACTTTCAATTGTAAATTTATAACCTTCTTATCCTGATAATGCAACTAAATGTAACGTTTTTATCGTTTAGGTGTTTTAAAAATCTGAAGCTTTCTCCTGGATACATCATTTTCATTACGTTCACTTGTCAATGAATATTTACATTTTTAACAACATTAATTCTTACATAATGTCTTTCAAAAGAAAAAGAAATAATAAATGAGAAAGAAGAACTAGAATTAACAGAGCTTACTCTGGTAAATGCTGATTTCAACTACAAAACATGCCCTGCGTACTGATGTCAACAATCTGGAAGTGCAATAACTATTCCCAGCTACTGTTGTTGTTTTTTAAATTGAAATAAACACAAATACCATGAAAATATACAACTATTCATGTCTTTCTTAAAGTGAGTTTGCACTTGATTTCATAACAAAATGAGTTTAAAATGTTTAAAAACAGGTCTGAAATGTTCTAATTGAATTCCAACACTTAGTAATGGAAAATGATCCCTCAAAAAGCCAAATAAACAAGAGGTAAGTCACCCTGACAGAGTACTACTGAAACAAAACTTACCTCCTTTTCATCATCTGATCCACCTTCTACAGCCTTGTCATGGGGAGGGGGAGGCCCCTTCTTTTGAGCCACAGGTTTACTATCTGTCATGCCAGCCATGAAGATCACAGCAGCAACTATTGCCACAGACCAATGCATGATTTGTTAATTCCTGCGAAAGAGGGGAAAAGGTATCAAGCTTCCATCAGTTTCAGTAAATAATAAAAATGAAAGGCTGTAAGCTTATCATGCTTATCATTATCATGCTTATCTTTATCATCCTTCTATACATCTTTATCATCCATAAAGTTTACAGTAAATTTAGATCAAACTAAAGTCAGATTGTTGATAATTAATGTCATTGTTCAAACTTAATCATAGTAATGAACATGGTGAATGAAGCTAACAGATATAATCACTTTTGACTGTAATACAGTTATTCAAACTGTATTAAAGTAAAAATGTGTTTATATTCAGATTAATAATCAAAATCATGGGCATTATTAATCATTTTGAATAAAAAGGTAATTATATAACGTTCAGTTAAAGATCAAGGGGAGTATTTTCAACCGTACGTATAAAATACAACATTTGACCAGATGTTTGGAAATCACTGGACTTGTCAAACCGGACCTAACTTACTTTTCATAAAACTTATTGCTATACATACCTATTTTTCTTAACTGGTAAAGCGAAATGGATAAAACATAACAGATATCGATTAAGGAAGAGAAACTATTAGAAGACCTGAAGTGCTTACCTGTGTCTACCAGATGGTATCTTTTCTAAATAATCGCAAGACGCTCTGTCGGCACAGAAGCACCGGAAGTAGTACGTGGTCTGTACACAGGGCTCGGAGTAAAAGTTACCTCTAATGTGATTGGTTGGATTGATAAGTACACGTAATCGTAATCGTAATCACACTGAACGTTACAATCGCCTCGAGTTACATCTATGACGAAATATAATATTGAGGATATAAGCTGTGGTGTTGACACCAAATCAGCACAACTTTGTAATAACATATGCATCGCGTCTACACAATTGGATATGAGTATTACAAAGGAATAACACGAATACCCGATCTAGATCTACACTGAGTGTTTGCAAAACGTAAGAGAAACATTGTTAGTTTTTATGCCCTTTTTATAGGCATATATAACAAGGAGCGAAATAATCAAATAAACAGATTTAATTGTATAACTTATGGTATATATGAAATATGCTGTATTTGTGTATTGTATTTATATTTGGTTTATATATTTATATTTGTATTATATCAGAGACCATAAAATAGATTTATTTATTTTATGGTCTCTGATTATATGTATACAAAGTTTATAAAATTCAACTCAGGCCGCATGTAGAAAAAAATTGAGAATCATAAACTTTTGTCTATTTATTTCAGGGAAAGCTAGATCAAAAATTATATTGAGTATAATTATTTGCAATTTCGTATCTGTCACAACTTTGCATTTTTATAAGCTAATCATCATCATCATCCACTGAGATATGGTCTATGAAATCTTTTATAACACAATTACTGTCCCTTTTATTAAAAAATGTTTTCTAATGCTGATTCAATTTATGGGAATGTAGCTAGCCTGACTTGCCTACTTATATCGTCTTCGTATCCCGACAGTGTGGGTTGTCTCCCATGCTCATTGATATAGTTATATATCTATACGACCTTAGATACAAACAAACACAAGCAAGCACCCAGTTGTAGAGGGAAAGGATCGGTTAATTAACTGCTCAGTGGTGAACACACACACACACACACACACACACACACACTACACTCATCCTCGATAGGTACCAAATTTAGGATCCGAGGGGCCTTCCTAACATGTTTAGGTATTCGACCCTCTCTCTCTCTCTCTCTCTCTCTCTCTCTCTCTCTCTCTCTCTCTCTCTCTGTGTCTCTCTCTCTCTCTCATCGGTATGTAATCATGAGAGAAGTAAGGATAATTTCAAAAGACGATGAGAAACAAGGCAAATCGGCCCAATTAAAGCTCGATGATTTTAAAAGTTGTTTAGAAAAAATAGGCGTGAGATTACACTGACATTGCGTGAGAGAGAGAGTTTTGCTGAAAATGCGTTAAGTTGTGTTGAGTTGACAGATATGGTGTATCCTTCAACACTCCTGGGATAACTATATTATAATGTATGATGGGGATGCTGCGTGTGATCCCACCACAAGCACACACGCTCCATCTCGATGCAGTGCTTTATATTTTACATGCGCTTCAAAGGGTATTCCGATAATCAATACTTGTGATCACAAAGGTCATGAGTCTGCCATGGGAATTTATAAGTTATAAATAACCTTATATATATTTTCATAATCATATGAAATATTATTAACAGTGTGAGAATTTCTAAACAAAAGACATCGCAGGCCAGCATTCAAGTGAATAATTAAATATAACAACTAACTCACTTGCCCTACATTTTTTATATACACCATGACCTTTTAAAATATGTTATAGCATATGTATGTGTCGTCTTTTTCAGGAAAGGACATATATGATTCATTGCTAGTCCGTCTCGCAGTCCCTGTACCCTATAATTTCCCCTTCAGCCCAGCCCTTTCTGTAATTCAAAGTCTAGATTTTCCCCAGGCTCTGAATCTCAAATCTCACAAGGGCTCCTTTTCAATTTAAATGGAGTTCCATGTTTTTATCAAAATTACATATTTTTAGAGACTGAGCGTTAGTCTGTATCATTGCAGGCACATCCAGGTAAACACCAGTACCTATGTGAAGGCTACCACTGTGGTCCGAAGAACTGGGTTCCTGTCTACCAAACAAATCAATGATTATCGCACACCACTCTGCGCCTACCATCCGAAAAACTACGTCAATAAACTGACATATTTATCGACCGATTTAGGACTGCGAATGTGTTGGAATTTGAAGTGCGTTCCTTCATTTACAAATAAGTGATACAGATTTTGCCGATTGAAATTTACTTAGCATGTATAGAATATATGTAACACAGATCTAGCATGGTAAATCATTGAGCCTAACTGTCATCACCCATAATCTATATCCCACACTACAACCGTGTAAATGTTTGGAGGTCACGAATGTTAATGTAATTAATTGAAATATACTTTTCTAGGCGTATTATCAATGGGTCAGAGAGTCTTTTTCATACTCCTGGATACATTTCGAAAACAAATAAATATGATATTTATATGTAAAATGTTTAGTGTACGAGGTGAACCATAGTAGGTCGAAGGGAAATATGTAAAGAGATAAATGATATATGAAATTCTGAATATGCAAATCAGTCACCAAATGGATACCATTTTTTTATGGAAACCACCACATCAGTGGAAATGGGACAAAGGCCGCTTATCAAACTGCGACGTCGATTTCGCGGTGACATTGAAAACTCCGGAAGATGTCGGTTAACTCCGTTAAAGTCCGGTATGGTATTCACGTTAACAGCGATTGCGTCCCTTTGAAAGATGGCTACATACATGGTTATTTGAGTTCGTTTGATTGGCCAGTTGGGTCTTTGTTGGTTTTGTCCAGTCCGAATTGCCAGGGCTTTGTGACAATAGGGTTGAGAAAGCGGACAGAGAGCGCCCTCTTGACAAACACCATTGGACGAACTTTGCAGGTGGCTGGCCCAGGTGCCAGGGTTTCAGACTTGCTTTGTTCGCCATATGGTCGTTGAATCCCACAACCCAACTCTCCTCCGATACCCCACATCGAAACCATTTTCACAAGCCTTTTGACCCAGTAACGGATCGTTACTCGTCATGGAAACAAAGAGCATGACAAGCGTTCGGAACAAAACGATATTCAAATACTTCAATTTTCAAAAAATTCATACTTAACATCAGTATGCCAACTTTGTAAGCTAACCGTATTGATTTCACGAGAAATTTGTGTTTTCTGTGTGTGATAAAAGAGTGATTTATGTCATTGTACGACAAAACGCCAGTTAATGTGGACGTGTAAGTTAGTTTACGAACTGCGGACGAGTGAAAATGAACGCGTGACATTTCAAAACCCCGAACCTCCTACTGACCTAGTCCAGAGGAGGTGACATGACGACAGTCTATATTTAACCTCTTATCTAAAAATGACTAATTACTAATTCACAAGATAAAAGTTAACGCGTTGATAATCAGCTGGTGATATGTCCATTACTCAAAACAATCTTCTAATTTTAATTAAGCTAGTATACTGCGTTGGAGATTTCAAGGAATGTAGTAGCCAAGCTATTTCAAAGCCCCTTGACAAAGACGTAGATATCCGGCCCCAGATATCAAGCATCGGAAGCATTTTGAAAATGGGTATGTCATAATGAATACGAGATTATAAACGACGACTGTGTGGATGTAGTGTAATGACAGAAAGAAACACCAGCGGGGTGAAACTGATATCGACACATGCAAGATCACACTACGCATTTACATTATTTGTTTGACATTTCCACGATGTCACATTTCAGATGCGGCTTGTGCACACGACGCCATGTTCACAACTTTGCGATTGTTTTGCATGGAAACTGTTGCTTTTAAATTCAAGCTCATTATTGTGGCGAGCCTGCAACAATAAGAGCTCAGTGAGATGTAATCTTGAGACTCGGGCCTGTGGATCGCCATGCGGGGAGACCATGCCTGCGCCCTGTCACGATTTCTATACACGGCACGCCTTACGGGCTAGACTTGCCAAGGCGATGCTCCGGACCATTTGAATTCGGATACAAAGCTGCTTTGTACTGACATGAAACGAAGCCATATAGACTTGCTTATCGTACCAGCTTACATTGCTTATATGTGCAGGGTCGGCACATTACGTAATATTTATATAACTGGTTGGCACTTGCCTCTATACGTTATATATACTATACGACTGTTATAGAAATTAATAAGCTATATATAAATTATAGTCTATCTCCTCTTCATGTTTTATACCAGGACGTATATGAAAGCCTTATACAGTCTACCTGCTTATACATGTATGTAATAAAACGGCCGTGACGATTGTCAGGTACCATTCTTTTACTGGTGTTTTATAATCAAACATTTACTAAGAAGAAAACACGTTTCAAGTGTTTTAAAAGTGTAACAATAGAAGCGCCGCTTCAGCAATTCTCTGACACAAAATGTGAACACGTATGTATGTAGTTAGTACGTATATTATGTAATTTGAAGGAAAATTCATAAACGCGTTTTGAAAGTACAACAGAAAGGGTCTTCTTCGGTGTATTTATTGTATTAGTTGGGGCACGGACCTATATAACAAGTCTGTGGTTGGGGCAATCTCATTCAAATCAGATCTTAGTTCTCGTTATCGCTATATGTTTTAATGAGATGTAGTTTGGGCGACTAGTGAGGATCAGATGGCCACAATGTGTGACCTGGCCGATAGTGTATCATTACCCTTTCGCCCTCGTGATCTAACTATTACAATTTAGGGCCTAACCATCATCAAGACAAAAGCGGATTCCCAGACTTATTATGTTACTTAGTTAATATAGATATTTGGCTAAGTCTGCATAAGTCATGCCCATCTCGTCCAGTTAGAATGTCAACGTTATCAGGTCAGCCGAGGGCATGAACATGTTATTTGATGCATCTATTAATGATGAATTTTCTGGATTCCACAGCGTCGGAGAGGAGGACTGAAAGTAGTTCCGGATTAAATCTGATTTTCTTCACACGTTTACTGAAATAACACTCGAGTTTCGAATCCGTTTAATATTTTAAGGAAAATACAGTATTTCATCAATAATTAATACATGCACCCGTCAGTTCTAATCATTGACCCAAACAGTCCGGTAAGGGGATAGGGCTCGATCAGTATGGAATAGGGCGCAGAAACAAGAGTGAGTGTGTTAGAAT